GCTCTGCTTTTGTGAAGAACCGGGTACCCACCATTGGCGGTTCCACATTCAAAGAGCTGACTCCAAACACCAAATCCGAGTCCCAGTCACATCACCACTCAGCACCAGTGGGTGATAAGCAAACATCGAATCCGATTACCGCTCCCGCGTGTCCATGTATGTATAGCATGCTGTATATTATAGCAGGGCACCCTCCACACAAGGGAAAATGTGTACACAAATGAACTGTAAAATACCTTTGTGTCTGGGTACCAAACCACATTGGTTCTTGCACGCGCGGGCAGCAGAGCTTTGACGGCCGGAAGCCATGAAGCTCGAAGACTGTTTTACATGTGGCTGTGACTTCAACATTGCGTGGGTACTTGCGTGTGACATGTTGTACATTTACTTTCCACATATACATGTTTGACACCAGGCAAAATCGTCGAGTGGTTAAGAAAAAGCCTAGCCGTTGCCCAAACTTATGCACCAGAGTCCACAACTTTTTTACTGTCCAGCGAGGGTCTCGGTTCTCAACTTCTCACTTCAGAGCTAGTTCCATTCATGGACCCGGGCAATGGCATACATGTAGCTTACAAGAAAGTGGACGTATCGGAGTTTTACATGTGCCCACTGTGGACAAATGACCAGTTTATGCATGGTCCATAGCCATTTACGATATGTTGGCGCATGTTAAAAAAATACACGTGATCCAGTCCATGAAGTTCCATGGTATGGTCGACGATTCCATTTGTGTTATGGGTAAAGTTACATGAACTTGCAACGGCAAATCAGTTGTTGTTCTGACTGGAGTATTTTTATACCCGGTACATGTACGTAGAGTGGAAAATAGTGCAGGAGGAAGCAGTACTGAGTTGTATCATGGTTGTGCATACATGTTGCAAATTTATTCCAGCCATGACTAGTCTACGAAGAGACAAAAATAAAATTCAGATACCCACTGTGGATAATGTGAAAGCCCACTAATGACAAAAAGCCAATCGTTGTGCCATTCGAGAGTGGCACCGGCGTGATGCTGCAGCGACAGATTTTTAATGTGTTTTATTAAACCTTTATGTTTTTCTTTATATCTTTGGGAGCCCATTCTGACTCTGAATCGCAGTCCTTAGCTAAAGCCGAAACCGGTTTGGCAGTCTCAGCTGTCTCCGGTCTCAGCGGTCCCCCGACGTACGGACATTTCAGCACAACACAAGCACGGTCTCGTTGGTCTTCCGTGCTGAGATGTCCACATGACTAACTCGCATGCCGCCATGACAGCCAAGTTACTACTGTACGTGTAGGCCAAAGGTACGATACTACAAGCGGTGCTACTATCTTTGGTGTAGGCCTATGTACAGTACACGTGACATACAATGTGAAGCATGCATGGATTGCACTGCTCAGCACGCTGCTTAAACGGACAACTTTCCCGTTATTGTGCACAGAGATGGTATGACATATTTTTACCATATTTGGTAAGGGGGACCGCTGAGACCAAGAGACAGCTGAGACTGCCACACCGGCTCTGAGAATTCGGGAACCACCTAACACTAGTGGCAAGGTGGCACAGGAAAGTGTGTAGCACAAACCCACAAAGAATGAAAGAAGTTCCATTAGTACATGTAGGGCCTACATAGAAAAATGTGTTCTACAATCACCAGTCAAAAACCACAAAAGGGCAGTAATAATTTGTTGTGCATCTATACTGTACTTGTTACAACAGCAAATGATGTATCGCACACATACATGTACATGCCAAGGAGGGTGAACCAGGTTGTTCCAAATAATTATTACTTATGTCACACCATGGCACGACTGATAAACAATCTACACCATTTCGACAGAACATTTGACAATGAAAACCCAGTGGTGTTTCATCCTCGCTCCAAACAGTTCATTAAATGTCATGGAATAAGTAAATATTCAACCTGGATAAATGTAGTCTGTTCCGAAGATACACAATCCATTCACAGGCCTACACGTGACAGATTACCATAAATAGATGCAGCGTTGTACATGGGGGGAGCTACAGTACATGTACTTCAAGAACTCTAACCCACTAACTCTGTGATCCACTTGGAGAAAAGGTTTACGTGGCGTCGCAACGTTATGGTGTTTTGGAATCAAATTTTTGTGGTGAAATGGTTCACAGCTGTAAGAAATCAAATTTCCCCTGTCAGCATACCTGCTTAATTTATACCTACCTCCTAAAACGGGGATATTAAACAAAAGTTTCAGAGCGTGAGACAGAGTATTTTTGAAAAAAAAATGAGATTATTGCTCACCAATTTCTCGCTTCTACCAGCTGACTGTCGCTCCATTCATGCCGTTCATGTTTATCAGACTGTGCATGCACTGAGCCCACCAATGACCGCAGTATCACAGTTAGTTACCCCCAGAACTGTGGGGTACGACGTCCGCTCCTACAGTAGCTCCTCTCCCACAAGGAGTGGACGTCGGACCCCACGGGCCTATTAGAAACCCCATTCTCATGGGACTCGCGAACAATTCTCGGGAACAGTTCCCGGGTCGTTGATTACAAACGCTGAAGTGCAACAGGAGTGCTAAAGGTCGAGATACATGTACATGTGGGAGTCGCCATTTTGACACCAAATGAAAAGATGGCATGACATTTACCATCTCACATAAATAAATATCACCAAATAAAATCCACATTAAATGGTCAGGGTAAAGTCTCTCCAATAGCCTACATGTATTTGCCCTGACTTTTATTTTCCTTATTAGGAGTGTTTTCTATTTTACGTAACAAAATCAAAATTAAGTTACGGTATGTGCATGTATCCGCCATCTTTGTTCTTGATGTTCTCTATCATGTCTATCCACTCCCTAGCCCCACTAGTGTGGCACAGACTCTCACTCCCAATCCATCCTTAGCCACTCATCCGTATACGCAATTTCGTGTCGACGTATTGAACATTTCGGCGCACCCACTTATCATCGTGGGCACAATTTCTTTTGCACACGAACATGATTCTTGACCTCTCTGCTTTCTAAAAACCATTTATTGAATGATTTCACTCACGTTAATAAGGTATTTTCCAGTCTTTTTGCCTTTATCCATTCAATCTCACGGGCTTGCTCTCACAGTCCCCATCTTTAAAATAAAGTCCTTGAACATTACGTCACTTGACCCCTAGCCCTCATCGTCTCGACGGCTGTTCCATGTCAAGACATCTAAACTGCTGCCAAAGTTTTGGAAGAGCCCATTGGTGCATGTAGTATCTTATCGACCAGTCCGGGTTCTGGAGGTAGGAGTGGTGACCTATATTTATAATATTAGACTCTCGAAGTACATGTGCTAGGGAGCCATCTTGGCTGACATGGCTGAAACATGGAGGTAGCTCCATGGCTGAAATTACTGACGCTTGTATTTTCTAATCAAACCTATTCTTACTTATTAATCCTTCTATAATGTCAACACACTACTAAAATTACACCATCAATCAAAATTCCAATAAAATGAAGGTCTTAGAGTGAAAAATCAAGACACTACCTGAATTGTTAAGCAATCAAGAGACTACACGTGCCTGCAGCATGGCCAGACCGGTGACAAGGTGGCACAGGATACGTGTGAAGCACAAACTGCCACCAAGCGAGGGCGCTGTGACCAGTTACTGTCTGAGCGCTCTGGGTACAAGCCCCTTTGAAAACAGTGTAAAATCAGCACTGTCCAGGGCCCAATAACATGCATACCAACATCCCTGAGATTTCAGAAACACAAATGAAATTATTNCCAATTACATTTTTAATTATTCCCACAAAACAAAATCACCCCCAAAAAAGTGATTTTTCGAAGTCCGATTGCAGCCGTTTTTCAAGTGGCAACCCTCAACTTTCTCGGGCACTTAGGACCATTTTTAACTGTTGTTTTTAGCCATTCTGCTCTCATATGAAAGCTCAAAGACCAAGGGAGTTGCTCCTGGCAAGTATTTGCAAAAGATACTGTGGGGGGGGCACTATTAATGCTAATAAGCTGGCCAGAAACTCTCGAATGAGTGGTCTGCATTCCTCTGTGGTTCACTGCTACCCTCACAGTTAAGTAACCAACAACAAAGATCTGAGAAATTTGCCCTCAAGATGGGGTGGAAGTTACATGTACATGCAATGCAGAGTGAACTTTGTGTTGTTTGAGGCCCCACTTAAAAAGATGCACAAAGCTAGAGTTTAAGCTCAAGGGTTGAGAGGGTTTTTTTGGCAGAGAAAATGAGATGAGCAGTATGGCACATGTTCTAGTACTGATTTTTTTTTTCCGTAGGCCTATTTGACCTAAAGAAATACATGCTAGGACTGAGTCTTTTGAATTTCTACCTTGAACTGAGACAGTGATTGCCTGTGGGCCAAGCCGGTTTCATGTGCGCAGTGTACACGTACATATACATGTACACTGTACAGCGTTCTGGCGATGACATCATCCAATAAGCCTGGGACTTGGGAGCGTAAACGGCCAAAATGGGAATTTTTGTGAGTGGGGAAACGCAGGATTTTTTTATTCATTTTGGGGTCACAATTAATGGGGTAAACATTAAATGTTTTTGAAATGTTTACATATTTATTGTTATTTTAAAATACTTCATGTGAACTAAATGTTTTCTATTTCTGTTACCCTTTAAATACACCATCATGTGTGGTCCCAATAGTGTTGACAAAGGTTATTTTCTCCATTTACAAGGTTTTTAAAATACCACAAATCTATTGAAATAATGAAACAGCAAATCAGAAATGAAACATTTTCCTGGCAATAAATTTTGTCACAAATGGCCACCTACACTTACAGTACCTTTATTTTTTAGTGTTGGACAAAGTGTACAGGCCCCAAGGAATTTTTTAAATGAGCTTTCATTTCATTTAATTTTGGCATGAAAATTCCAATTATGCATGAGAATAACCTAATATTCCAAAGACTTCTGCTCAAGAGTTGTCAGCCCGGTGTGTAATGAAAGACATAATGACAAGCTATTCAGAGACACTGTGACATAAAAGTACCCAGTTTAATTGACCTGATTTCCAAGGACTTATAAACTGTGTCTAATGTATATTATTGAACAGCACGGAGGGGAATTTTGTCCCTTAGTGGTGCATTAGAAGGCCATAGTGATGTCATACCAACAGAGAGAAAGCCACAAGGTGCATCAGTTTTGAAGGCCCAAATGTGTTCATGTCTCTCACAGGTAGATTCAAAATCTGTTCCTTGTGCAATGGCTTAGGTTGTTGTGCCGGACTCTTGCTGTCTTTGAGTTAAAGGCCGTTTTGCATATGCTCACATGTGCATTCATTTTATTCAATGACAGGGCTATTTTACGTCAAATATTTGAAGTCTCTAACCCACAGTGTATTTGGTCATTGCTTGACACTGCTCAAACACTTGGATAAATGACAAATGATAATTGCCCTGCTGCACAGAATGTGGTGGCAGCACATGTTTGGAGGCCCAAAAAGTTAATTTTCCAGTGGCTTTATTTGTTTGTGCATGGTGATTCGGGCACACACTGTTATTTCTCACATATCCGGATAGTGATCAGTGATCCCAGGGCTAGTTTGTGCTATCCATTAGGAGGGTTCGGGTATCAGTAAACCAGTGGCAAATCACTGATTGTGATTTGGATCCACTGTGAAAGAAACAGGCCCATTGAGGCTGTGGTGGATAGTGGAAATAGGGAATAGAATTTATCAGGAAACCCATCTTGAATATGAATATGGTTATTATGTGTACTATATTGTGCATACACCAGGTCATTACAAAGCATGCACAAATGGGTCCAATTTTCAAAAGGTAAAAGTGCTCACTACAATGAAACTTAGTGCTTTATATTGGCATGTGAGACATGGGTCTTGCATACAGATCACTACCAAAATCTTGCAAGAGATGTGTTGGTGATCCACTGATATCTCACAGTTAAAATTTTGTAAGTAAATTTATAGCTTCGCATAAGTACACACACACTTACATGTTAATTCCCAGTATTTATGTATCACCCACTCTAACAAAACGACGAGTCATAACTTGCCAGAGCCACTTGGGAATTAAAGGCTTCCCACAACAAATGCAAACACAACACAGATCGATAGAAACCAAACTGAACTACACTACATGTACTGCACAAACAGCCCTTCGGCCAATTTTGTGGGATCTGGTCAAAAAATGCTTTCCATGAATTAAACATTACTTGTACATTTAAATGAATTTTTCATCATTCCATCATAAAAGGTACAACTGAGTCTGTTTTATTTTCTAATCATTTTCACACGGGCTGGATTCCAATTCCACAAAGAAACAATCAAGACAATCATAAATAATACAAAAAGCCCCTTAGTAGGCATGATGAATTTATTTTAAACCAGTGCTAAAAGTTGCTACACACATTACATTCGCTGTGAAAAAAAACAAAAAACCGACCGTCGACCAAAAACCCCAAATGTTTGGCCTCATTGTAACACTTGTAATTTTTTTTTCATTGAAATGAATTTGACTTACCAGCTGAATAATCACACAACACAGACAATGGGTTCCTCCCAAAGACAGGAGTAAGGAAATTAGACTTTCTTTTTAAAAAAAAAATTAATATTTGGTAAAAAATTACCCCGGGTAGTACATGTCATATTTTGGGGGATTTCTTATTCAGCGTCCGTCCTGACTGGCATTTCCCAAATTATAACCCCAAGACTTTAGCTCAATTAAAAAAAAGGTTTTGTTACCGACCCAAAAACTGAAGGTACATGTACATTAAAAGATTACAAGCAACTGCCAACAAGCAATTTTTATGTCGGAGACAAAGCCTAAGATTCAGACATAAGTGACATCTGGAAAAACCCCTTTGTTTCTTAGACTGACGTTAAAGAGTATTGCTTCCTAATTTACTTTATTCATTTAAGACCTATGCATATCTGGGTCCAATACACAGCGCTGTGTAACAGCATGAAAGTGGTGTTTACTATAGCAGTGCAACCACACTGCTGCTTCAACAGTAATTCATGACATAGATGCGCTAACAGTTGGGCGCACATGAAGATTTGTATTGCTACATCATGATGGAGTAGGACATGCTATTGCTTTCCTGACTGCTTAATGGTCTTCTTGAAATAGACGAAGGCTCCCTGTTAGCACAAAATGAGCCAGTTTAGTATTCCAACAGCGCATGCTCAGTACGAGGCTATTCGCGAACAACCGCGCACACCCAGTAGACTGTCCTAGCGGTGCAGCCATGCGCTGACTCGTGCTGACTGATAGGTGCGCTTTGTTCCCAAAAGACCCTGGCTTTTTGAAATACCGAACTGGCTTATTAGCTAATGAGCAGTGCCATGACATTGGGCCCAGATTCCTAGAGAGAGCTGAAAGGCGCATGAGCACTTGACAAGGAATCAACACAATACTCTCATTCAAAATCACATTTTGCTAACCACACACTTTGACACCTTGTTGGTGTTACGGGGCAAGTTAAATGTACAGATGAATCCAGCGACATGGGACATTCCTGATGGCTTCCCTGCAACGGAAAACTTGCTATAGAAAAATAGCTATTACAATGCCTTTTGCCATTGATGGGGGCCATCAGGAGTGTCCAGTGATAGCATAACAATAACATGTGGTTCTGCCGACCATGGAATATTTCATCCTCTGATGACTACTGCTCTGAATGCTTGTGCAAGGAGCATTCAGAGCTGTTTCAATTATTGGAGCTTCAAAGGTGCAGTGGTTTCCACTATTTGGGAAATTGTTCTTCAGATGTGTGAAAATGCTCTACAAATTCAGTCCGCAAAAGTGAAAACGGGGGCAAAAGAATGTTAGGATTTTAGGCAGTAGCATTATTTTATTTCTATACAGCAACAGAACCACAATAACCATTGTGAAGTGTTCATAATTTGACTTAAAAGAGTTATCTTACATATTAAGGTTAATCCAACAAAGACACAGATTGCATACCAGTGAAAGTAGTTGACAAATTCAGCTCTGGTGCAGGGTATAGGCTAGTTTGGCCCGGGGGGGTGCAATTTGCAAGAAAGCAGAACTCCAACTTCCAACATTGAAACGAGGAAAGCAAGTGTGCACGTGAAAAGCAGATTGCCCCAGATACATGTATTTGCCACATTACTTTTTCAGTCGTCATGTATCAAAAACCCACATCCTTTCACCTCGATAAAATACCGTACTGCTGTTTGGTTTAAAAAATAAAAATATGAACTCCTCAAGAAGAACTTCCTTTTGTTGGTGGGAGGGGGGATGCGTCCGGGGGACCCCCCAGCCTACATCCTTGAGGAGTGTAAATGCAGTTAGGCACGTTGGGAGATTATTGGGGGGTGAAGGCTTTTCTCTCTGTATACCAAACCTTACAATGCACACTAATATACCAAATTATTTCTGTTGTCTCCAGCTCGGGCCGTTTCAGGCCCTTTTTCTAAACAGCTAAGGTAAAGCTCTTCTGTGTAAAAACCTTAGAATGAAAAACCTCAGAACAATAGGCCTAACGTCCCCCATGGGGAAAAAAAACAAAAGGAGTAATACATGCAGTATCAAATGCTGTTTCGGGGAGGGGGGTGGCACTGATTAAAGACTGCAGGCGCTTGTGGCAAACTTGGCCACGTCAAAAACACTTCATCCAAGATGTTAACTACCCGCCAATATTACCAGTCAACAAAAACGTGTACATTTGCTTCAGAACACAATCCACAAGCGTACGGTTTCGGCCCACTACAAAATACTGCGGGTGCCTTTTTTACTACTGTCTCGTGCATGTGCTCCCAGAGACAGATGGGCAGTCACTCATCGTGTTTTGTCGTCTGACTTACAACACGAGTGCAAATGTTACAAGTGCACGGGAAAAATACTGTGTTCAGAACAGGTGCGTGAGTCTACTGAACATACAGGAATAGATCAGTGGGCACTGTAAATACTCGTTACTTAACTACAAGTAAGTTCTCTTTGAAAAAAAAACAGGCCTGATGGTTTAACTTTATTGTCATTAGGGTAATACCTCTTGATTATGCTGCTGCAGCTGAATTTGTCAATATTTAAGACCCGCTCCGACCTCGGAGATGTGTTACTGGCTGCAGTACCGGCCCTTTCACTTCTGGTCCAAGTTCAATTATTCAACCAGCTACCTACATGTATCACAGACCGAACCCAAATTGTTCTTGGTACAGCGATTTCCTAAATGTCGAACCTGCCACCACATGAATGGAAATCCTCACTAGTCCCAAAACGGGAGAATCGAAAACAAAATCCAGCTGAAATTCTGTGTGTTAAGTCACCACATACAAGAAAAAAAACAGAAAAAATTACACAACAAAAATTACCTGAACTCGGTCCAACTCTGCAAGAGCTACAAGAAAAGCACTTGCCCTATAGCTTGTCATTTCTTTATATTATCTGAGTGTGTGTATTTTTATTTTTCGTTTTTGTTCTTTTTTTACATAATGTACTTTTCCCATGCCATTCCACACCGAAGCGGAACCTCCAAACAGCCATTTGTCTAGCCGTGATCTATGACGACGGACGCTTCTCCGAGTATTTCTTTGTGTGATCTTCAGCATTCTTGAGGAATTTCTTCCTGTCTTTTGTGTATTCTTCAGCTAGGTCGCCCCGCAGCGGGTGCTCTGGTTCGGGATCGTGGACGAGTGCCACTAGTGCTTGGATTACTGGGAAAGAATTGAATAAAAGCACAGCATCCCTGTACAAAGTATGTATTCAAAAACCATTTAATAGGGATGAGTTCAATCTCTAGCTGGCTGTAACTTAAGGTTTTACCTTAGGTATCCCCAAAAACCTGTAGAACCTTGAAAACTTCAAGGTAAATCTCAAGTTATTGCATAAAACAAGCCAAAAGATCAATAGCCTGAGAGGAGAGTGCAAATGAAACAGAAGGAACATGGAGGTTATACTCAGAGGTACCAAAAAAACCCTGAAAAAGGTAAAAAAAATCTTGAGGTAAATCTCAAGTTACTGCATGAAATAAAATCAGGAGTGTAACATTACTGTACAAAGTACACTTTGTATACATCGTGACATCTTGCGGAAGATTGCAAAATTAAACACATGGTAACTCATGCATTTACTGAGACGTCACCCAAAACTCTCGCAAAACCTCAAGGTACATAGACCTGGAGTTACTGCATGTTAACTTTACCTGTAAAATTTCATGACCCAATAGGAAAACAAACACTTGCTTTTTGACCAACTTTTTTGCTTCGTACAAAAAAATTAACCAGGCAACAGACGCACGTGATGCATGTTGCTTGTGCGCAGGTCCAGTCACGAAAAACCCAGCAAGCAACAAGTCTAGTCACAATTCTTTTCACAGAATCTGTCACATGTCTCAGTTCTTTTCAAAAGAACAGTCACCAGTCCAATCACAGCCCTTTCAAAAGACTAATCACAAGTCAATTCACAAGTGCATTCACACGCACGGTCACCAGTCCTTCCACAAGTCCAGTCACAAGTCCTTCCACAAGTCCAGTCAGAAGTCTAGTCACACATCCCATCACAAACCCTTCCCCAACTCCAGTCACAAGCCCTTCCACAAGTCCAGCCAAAAGCTGCAGGATGAAATGTGACAAAGGGACACTTTTGTCACAGTTCATCTGAAAGCCTTGGGACTTGATTTTGTGACTGAATGACTTGTGACTGCCTTGTGACCGACTTGCAGGGTCTTGTGATGGACTTGCTTACAAGTCTGCTCAGTGGCTTCCACGACCTGAGGCTCGGACACCAACCTTGATCTGTCTTGGTTGCTGGCTTCCAGTTCTCCGGACTAATGATGGGCAAGCAGATCTGACCCTTTTCGTCCACGTTCGGATGATAGATTTTGGTCTTAAACGTGATCTTGGGGGGCTTGAAGGGATACTCTGCCGGAAAGATGATTTCTATCTTGAAGGCCCCCTTGTTGTAGGGTGGGTTTTCCTGGTAAGGGGAAAAGCAAATAAAAGTATAAATCTACTAAGATAAGATAATATAGTAAGATATAATTATCTATAATAAGAGCACGGGGTTACTTTTAATTCATTATAACAGAAGCTGTAACTTTTCTAAATGTTTGTCTTCGTTAATCTTTAGTTACTAGTTTACTTTAGGGTTGCACAATGATCATCACCACTAGTTGACTGGTAATGGGTAGAGGATATCTTTTTATGTCAATTCAGTTTGAGAGCAGCAATATGCCCCCCTAGAAAACCCAGATGTTGGCAGGCACATGTACCATTATCAAACACAACTTTTTTTTCTGGTTACCCAGGATACCTCCTGAACTGCCCCAAATCACCCACTATGCTGGAAGACCCTGTTGAAGTGTAACATCCTTCTAGGTAGATCCGCGGATCTGACACAACAGATACAACTCTATTCGGCACAGGAGTGCATACACTGAACCTAACCTTCCAAGATTTAGATCCTCCAACATCCAACAGAATATGGAGGACTGTGCAAGATTGATGAAGAGAGAACTTTTATACCATCAAACTTAGGCAGCATCTTGTTGGATTCAGCATAGTTGGGTTTAACAGCCCATGAATCTTTCCACTTTAAAAAGTACAGAGTGTGCCCTCAGGCTCCTGCACGGTGGAGATTTTCAGGACTCAGGAAAAGTTCGGAGGAAATATACCTTTGAAGAATATGGGGGCTAAACCACTAGCTGGTTTTGCTAGGAGCATTCCTCAGACAAACCAACTCCAACTCCGAGTGGTGACGTACAGGCATCACACACTTTTCACTTCAACAATCATGGGATACTGAGCTCTAAGCAGCTTAATGGAGTTCAGGCCAAGAGGTCCCAAATCCTTCAGAAAGTATCCTTCTAAAGATTTTTCTTGAGGACCAGAACAACCAGGGTTTACAACCAGTGTTATAGACAGCCATATTTTAGTGCAGGCAAATGGAGCTGGAGCGACCGGGATCTCACGGGTCAAGGCCGGGGGGCCCAGGGGCCTGCTTAAGGGAACTCCAGATCGGTTTTTCGATGTGTCTTTCCAAATCGAATAAGCATTCAATTTTTTTAATTCTTCCAGGTAAAAATATGAAATTTTCATAGGGATTAATGTTTTTTTCCTGGGATTTTTAAAGAGTTTTGTGCTAGTTGGTGGGCTGTTTCAAGCTCAGTGCCGGACGGTAGAATGCTGTGATGGAGATCCCCGACTGGTGCCAGCCGACGTAGCTATAACACTGTTTGCAACGTAACCTCTGGGAATTGGTGTTTGAAAGCTATAAAAACACTTTATGCTTTTCATTTGAATCTGCTTGAAACAAGCCTCAATAGTGAAATTTATCTCATATAAAACATATAAGAAAGCTTTCCCTTCCTTTGCATGAATTTTGCATTCGAATATTCAAATTCGAAAAGTAATATTTGAATATTCGACAATCAATCGAATGTTTGGTTATTCGGCACAGCCCTACCTCTAATGTTATTGTATAAGAATGAATCCTGGGGCAGCCCACTTATCAAGGTGCCATTTTACCAGGGAACATTTGGTGTAGTTGGGTCTTTTGGTGAACTTTATTTTGTGAAAAGAGAAAACTGAACTAAAATCATGTACTTACGGGAACTATTAGGCCCTGCCAGTTTAAGATGTTTGAATCATCTACTTTTATATCTCTGAAAATCCTTTGCTCTGAATCTCTTATATCCTTTAATTCCTGTAGAATTAGAAAGAAGAGAAGACAAATATTGAAATCATGACCGCAGAACATACATGTAATGTTCATCTGTATGCAAATAATGGGATATTACTGGATCAGGGCCCAATGTCATGGCGCTGCTTAAGGCAGAATTCCGCACTTACGATCCCCATTCTGCGCTAACTGGGCAAGCAGAAAAATTTGCAATTTCGTATCAGCGTACTGAAAATTTTCGGCACACCTACTTATCATCGTGGGCACAATTTCTTTTGCACACAGAGATGATCCTTAGCCATGTTAGCCTCTCCGTTTTCTTAGCGCCATTTATTGAATGATTTTACTCAGGTTGTTCTGGTATTTTCCAGTCTTTTTGCCGTCACTCATTCAATCTCACTGAGTCGCTCTCACAGTCACCATCTTTACAATACGATCGTTGAAAAATTACGTCACTTGACCCCTCATCGTCTCGACAGCTGTTCCATGTCAAGACATATCTAATACACGGACTGAGCGATAAGATACTGCATTTGCCAATGGGCTCTTCCAAAACTTTGGCAGCAGTTTAGATTCTTGACATGGAACAGGTAAGAAATGGCACTAAGAAAGCGGAGGGGCTAAGGATCATCTCTGTGTGAAAAATGTATGATGTAAATTCTGTCTTTTCATTTCTGGGCTACACACAAAGACCAATTACCATATACACAAAAGCCAGGGTCTGCCTTCTTTCAGTGTTCGCTTGAGCGTGGGCCGAGAATAATAGGTGAAAAGCGGGCTGAGGATCTCAATTTTTACGGCGTGTCTTTATGCATCCCGGCGTGAAGGGGTTACGGATGGAGCAGGAGTGAGAGTCCGTGCCACACTAGTAGTACTAGTAGTAGCGGGGCTAGGAGTTACACTGAGTTATTAAGTCAAGTGCCTTTTTGGGATGCGTGAAGGTAGCCAGTTGGAAACAAACATCATTAACTTTTCTTACTTTTAAACTGCTTTAAAAATCATAATGATGTATATGATGTATGCATTGTACAGTCACTGGACAGAGCCAGAGGTGCTGCCAACGGCATTCGAGTAGGCCTGTGCAGAGCGGACATACATCATGATGATGAACACGGAATTTGGTTGCTGAATGAAACATTTCCACCATGTCCACCGATGCAAAGATCACAAACAAAGGATAAGCGAATTGTGAAAAAATAGCGCAGTTAACTATTTGCGACCTTGGCATTTTTTTCTGTCACACAACTCATTAAATTTTGGTGAAAATAGCAACAAAAGAGAAGAAAACAAGCGAAACTTTACCTTCCCTAATCTCCTGGTGGCCGCCATGATGTAGAAAACCTGAATCAGATTCTTCACTGGTTTCCTTCAAATCAATTGCCGCAAGATCAAGTCTGGCGTGAAGCCAACCAGTGAATGCACGCCCTGACAACTACACTCCTCCGGCACTTTTCTCGCAAAATCCCGTTATCGTATCAAGGAAATGTACCTAGTTGTAAGTGACAAAAACAAGTTTCTCTAAGAGGTAACCCTTTTTTGTATCTTGTTGAAAATTTAGGCATTTTTTTATCCGAATTTGGCTCAACTATTCTGCAGTGAGCTGTGTTGATAATCGTATTCGCGTTTGCGCGAGAAGTTGATACGGAAGTGAACGGTTGTGGACATCGTACGCAGATGCTAGGCACGCATGATTGCACAGTACATACATGTACATGTACGTCGAGTCCGCGCTGGCAGTGTGATACACGATCGGATGCAAACGTTAAACCCAAGTGTGTGCAGTCTATGTTCATTCAAAATGTTCATGTGTCAGCTGGTGAATAGGATGATTTGACGTTCAGCTTTTCATTTTAGCTCTGAATAATGTATCGAAAGGTAAGTCAGAAGCAGATCATGCAGCCAACTGAATGGTTTACTATTTCAGCTCCATTCTGCGCTGTAAAAACTGGCAAAAATTTACTGAATTGTGAGGCTTTTCTGCACGGGGCAGTTTTCATAGGAACGTTTTATTTTACAAACTGGACAAGTGTCGAGTCGAGCGCACTGCAGCTGCGTATAGGACACATCTCTTATTAACATGATTAATACTTTTTAATAGTGTTCAGCATAATCTTTGAAAGTGCGCAAATTAAAATTTGTTGATGCAATTTCAGATTTGTAAATTTTGGGTAACCACAGATATTGCCCCCAAAATTGCACACAGCGATAAAAATTGGATTGCATATGAATCGCAGGCAAAATAATACAGACATTGACAGAGACTGACATCAACTATATGTTTTGCACAAATTTAATTTAAGTGTCAGGTGTACATGTACATTATTCGACAAACAGGATTACGATTAGAACTTAGAAGCCATCCATTGCTTCGATGGCACAATGCTTGTGAATGGGTGCTACCCCCCAGAACTGTGGGGTCTGACGTCCACGTTTGTGGGAATGGGGCAGACGTCAGACCCCACAGTTCTGGAGGTAGACAGGTGCTACATGTGCATTTGAATGGGGTGTTGGCATGGTTGGATATGCCAAATGTACGTGCGCGTCAAGTGTGTGTGAGTGTGGTGCCACTGCAGTTATGTGTATCATGGCCTCTGATCAGATCAGTTTGTTGGGTCGGTATTCGTGCATGATTTGTGCTGCATGATAAAGTTTTGCACTTATAGGGCACTGTCGCCGGGCGCCATATTTTTAGGTACTGTATACGCCTGCCTCGACATGCCAGAGGAAATTTTGCCCATAAGTTTTGATCTTTTTGATGCATAGTGCCTTGTGGGAGCTATTAAATTCCCATGTTGACATTTAATTCTGGCCGAGTTTATACTTCCTTCTGAAAAATCTATAAAGCCATTAATTGAAAAAAATCTGCAATATTAAAAGTAGCATACCAGATGAAACAAATGATACTATGAGAATTAAGGATTAACTACAAGTTTGTAGAAAATTCCAAAAATTTTCAGTATGCTTTGTCGTACGTACTGGAATTCTAGCCTTTACCCAAGGCAATAGTTTACCAGCTTGATAGGTGACTCTCCCAATAATTGAGACAACTGGAGACTTCCAGCTTTATATTCCAGCATCCCTACCCAGTCAAATGTTCACCATCATGGCTTCCTTTAAAAATTGCAGTTTGAGGCACAAAAATTGCACACGGTCAAGGATTGCGCTATCTGCGCTGACAAAAATTTCAAATATAAAATTGTGCAAGTTGCACACTTTCAAAGATACCTCTGAGCAATAGTATTGTAACCTCAGAGATGTCAGAGAAAATGGAGAATTGGCCTTTCTTGAACTGTAAACCGTTCAAAAATTAGTAAGAACATGAAGTATTTGCATAAATTTGCTTCCGCTAGCACTTCATGTAGGCCCACATCTTCCACTTCGATTAATGATACAACGTCAATGCATACATACATGTACATGTACTGGTACAGTGTACATGTACATGTACTGGTACAGTGTACATGTACATGTTACCTAACTTAGGCAGGAAGACTACATGTACCTAAGTAATATGCAAATGAATAATTTTAGGAGGATGTTGCAAGAAAAATGTGAAATTTTTATGAATATTTTTCAGTTGAAGACATGAATACATGTACAGTACTCTGGTATATACATGTATGCATGTTACATTCTACATGTAGTAGTCAGGGTCCTATAAATAGAGATTGACAACTTAGGAATCTTAATAAAGACACAGGCTCACTTTAAGAGGTTAAATATAGGGATGATTCATAACACACTATTCCACCAAGAGGTTGCCATGGTGAGGCCATTTTTTTTTCAAGTTTATGGTCAACAAAAGCATGGCCCCCTTCTCATGATTTGCATTTGAGTCATGTTTGAGCATATGGCCACATCCGAATTTGTTGTGAAGAGCTGTGGTACAGATAGGTTAAGATATTCCTTCTGTTGGAAATGTACATGTACAAGTCCATGGAGACATGCCGAGAAGAAGAGATGTAGCTGTTGAGCACAATCTTTGAAAGTGCGCAAATTTGGAATTTGCGTGCGCAATTTTTGAATTTTGTGCAACCACAAAAATTGCCATAAGAATTGCACACAGCGATAAAATTGCGTGGATACATGAACCACAGGCAACAGGCGTGTCAGTACGTAAGAGACTGACATCAACTACATATTTGCATGATTTTAGCAGGTCTGTTTCGTGCGTGACGTGTGTGAGCTGCGTGTACAGCATGGTATGTGTACTTATGGGGCTGGGGCATGGTACACCATGGGTCATGATGGCCAGCCGTGAGAAATTTTGCCATTCGAGCATTTTGATGAATATGGCCGGGAGCAATTAAATTCCCCTGTCGACATTCTTCCCTCTGAAAGAAATTCCCTATGATAACTATCAAATTTCCCTGTTGACATTTAATTCAGAAAATTTTTATAGCCGTACATGATTTTATTAGAAATACTCAATGTATATCTGCAATAAAATGAAAAGGAGGATCCCAGATAATAACAATCAGGGAAAATAAGGAATTTGAAATGACCCCCAAAACTACTATAGGTAGTTTGTACTGGAATCCTAGCCTTCACCCCAAGGCAACAGTTTCCAAGCTTGACTGGTGCCAGATGGCTGGACGCTTGCCTTCGAAGCTGGGAATGGGAATCCCTGTGCTGCCGGCTGCGGCCAGACCCGGTTGAACGCCAACCATCATGACTCCCTTTAAAAATCACACAGTAGTTTAAGGCGCAAAAATTGCGGACATTCAAAGATTGTGCTCAGTGTTGTCTGCGCAGATTTAAAATATGCGCAATGTAATAAAAATTGCTCAAGGAAAATTGCGCAAGTTGCACAAATTTGAAATTTTCAAAGATTGTGCTGAGCATAGCCATAGCTCTGGAAGCCCATTTTGCAGACGGCATATGTCAGTTTACAACTTCTAAGAGGGAGATTTTTTATAGAGTTGGACATTCCGTGTAAGAAAAAGAAGAAAGGATTCATTAGAACTGCTTCTTGAAATGGATAATGTCCATAATGGCATAGTCACCAGGTCTCTAATTTTGCCACCTTTTGTCAAGTCTGATTGGTTTTCACATTAGAAGGGACCTGGTGACTATTTACCATTACGGACGTTACGCTTAAAAAGAATCTTCTGAGCGCAGCCAGTGACTAGAATCTGGACACTATTTCCCATAATGCATTGTGAAAAATGGCCTTTCCATGACAACTTGTTGGTGGCGCACTGTACTGTGAAGGTAACAAACAAGTAACCTTAAAGATACGTGTACCGGTACATGTATCCTAAACAGTAAAACTAATGACTGCCTTAGCCCCACTCAGTGGGTCAAAGTTTGACCACAGTCAAGGAGTGCACATCAGCAACTGAGTGAAAAACTGTGTTTTATAACTGGACACAGTTAAAATGAATTCATAAGTACAGTACCTCAGACAGTTTCCCTATGCAACAATGCGCAACGTGTCCATGTATTAACATTTGATAATGCCCGCTGAGTAAAAAAAAAACTCTGGCACCTGGATTCAAGACAGTTTAATCTGTCTTTATTGGTCAAGAGTCTGCGTACAACGCAGCTCGCAGAATGCACCATATGTGTGTCAAATCCACGGATTCTTCTGGACAACTTTTGCAAGGAATACACCATAAAATTGATGGGGGTATTTTCTATTTTGGAAAATGAAAGTACACTCTAGAACAAAATCGTTGGAAATATATCTTTTGATTCTCTGACTAAAGACGGTACATACATGTATGTACAGGTTTGAATGAAAATATATATGTGCTTGGACTGACCACACACATATTTATTCCCTTATTTTTTGCCTGTTTAGGTTTGCATAACCACCAAACACTTGACCAGATTTGCACATCTGCCTGGATATTTTTAGTATTTCATAAGTTTTTGCGGGAGCATTTTTTCAAACTACAATGTATTTTTCAGACAAATTTCTCACACAAATCCATGCTCCCATTGATTTCCATGAAAATGGGATTCAAACAGGCTAGAAACAAGTAAGAGTGCATAGCACTGGAAATGAGACTTGTAAATTGAAGATAAACAGTGCTAAAGCGGTTGGTACATCTTCTGGTGAGCACTGTTTATCTGTTAATTTCCATTAGTTATAAAATGCGTTGTTTATCCAAGCCCTTAAAGTCCACAGTCCTCAACTCCTCATTCCTCCAGTGTCCATACACTGTAGGATTTTCCACCTGTAGGGGTTAGGGCTCATTTATGCTTTACATGTAAGTGTATACTGTACTGTATATACGCACATAGTCTAGTGCAGCATGTTGACCAGCTGAAAAATGAGGTTCAGCTTCTATTTTTGCCGCTGATCTTTGATCAGAGGATGTGGAGTGTAGCCTGCGACTTTGGTTGACAGAAGTTCCTGATTTTTGCAATTGTCACTGCCGGACTCGGCCAGTGGTTGTTGTTTTGAGTGTAATGGTACAGTATGAATCATGCTGACTGAATCACGTTCATGATACTGCAGTATAGGAAATCGTGAAATCGTTCACACGGTATGTGTCAACTGTGATGGAGAGTACAAAGGTACAAGTGTTTTGAAGTGTTGGTCTTTTGACCTTGCCACCAGCGCATACGAGTAACAGTTGGAATTGTGAGATTAGTAACTCCCATCCCCTGTCTTCCTCCATGGTTGGATGAAAACAAATAGAATGTGATGCATGCATGTGAAACTGTAGCCTGGGTGAGCCATGCAGTAGTCTTGTATGCGTGCCTATTGTCCATGTTTTTCTGGACAGCTAGAGTCACCGTTGCAGTGAGGTCATTTTTGGAAAAACAACGTCCGGTTTTTTAATTCCCTGTACAAATTGGGAGCCCAAAATTTTCTTCATTAAAAACATCTTTTAGAAAGGATTACTCACTGGCTTTTACTGTTGCACTTTGACAATATATGAATCACTAATTAAACCCCCCCCCATCACGTCGCCCTGTTCAGTAAAGTGCCGATTATTCTTAATCACTTGCTGCCGGGTGCTTTTATTAATGCAGTGCACACATACTGTATGGGAGCTTTTCAAGATTTTCAAGATCATTTCATTTACACCCACACGAATGACTGTTTGGTGGCTACTCTGAACTGACTGGTTACCTTCATTGACTCCTAAGTGTGCTCGAAACGGGGTTCCCAGGCAGCAAGTGGTTAAGAATGTACAGTGAAAAAGAATGTACAGTTTTGAGAATGTACACTTTGGACATTCTTCAAAAACTGATACATGTAGATCAAACTTGACTTGATAGACACAGAAAAAGCACTTGTGACATTAAATTACAACATCAAACACGGTAAGAAACGCTCTCCAAAAAAAAAATTTAGAAGTACAATACGGTGAACAACTTTTAGATTTGACGTGGTAGGCATGGCATTTTCTGTTGAGATTAGCAAATTTCAGTTAAAGTGAACTGCTCCTTACGTTACACTACGGTATATAATGTTTTCAATGTGTCTTCTTCATTTTTACATACAGCTTCAATTTCAGTTCATTTTACATATCCCTTCTATTTTAGTTTTATTTCTTTTTTTTCAGTTTAATTTATATTTTGATGGTTACGTAGAATTTTTATTATTTGTATCATTTTTCTTTGTGTATTTATCTTAAAATTCACATTTAACCACTTTAGTTTCGGTTAAACCTCAGTTTTAACTCTTCCTCTGTTATTCAACAATTTCAAATACAATTTCAACAATCACAATCCATGTCCAATTTTGCAAAACAGATTAATTGTATGATACTTTCCAGATGAATGAAATGATATTCCAAATGCCTGATTTTCCAAACGAAAGAATTTCCTTTGGCGACTGAAGGATTTCAAAGAGTAAGCATGTACATGTACTTCCAAGGTTGTAATCGTAATCTTCATTTGAAGGGACAGTGTACTGTAGCTCTCAAATCAGTCATTCAAGAAGCTTACTTATTCATGGTATAGAAGGCCCCCAGCACCATACAGTCATATCGATAGCCTTTGCTAACTTATATTTAGCATTATATATAGGGCCTATTTCTGCAACTAACATAAAGATATAAATCCATTTGGACCGTAATACAGTGTGTGTGCCGTGCGATACACTGATGGTGTCGACTGCATGTCTGTGTGTAACTTCATGTAAAGCATGAGTGTCTGTGAATGAAAAATAGTTGTGCACCTAGCAGAGAAGTTACTTAAGGGCTTGGGACAGGAATGAAGCTTTTATGTACATGCAAATGTATGTGTACATGTAGCTAGCCAACGCTGGAACAAATGATGGAATCCATCTCATGGCTTTCCAAACATCAGTAAAGTCTTTTTGTTCTTTTGTAAAATATGGACAATAATAGTTGAGAAAGGGACGTGGTTTTAAGTCCTTGAAGATGTCAAAATTTTAATTGAAAATAAGGATAAAGTTCAAGTACAATCTAATGCATGACCCCTTAAAAACTGTTTGGAATCTCTGAAGCCCAACTTGCTGTGTACTTGTTTGTGTATAGGTACATGTACATGGACATGTACCCTACCTGTACCTTACAATTTACTGTCAGCAAGGCTCGTTATAAATATACCAGTTTTACACAGACAAGTACATACTGGTATGTGCATACTGGGTACATACAACATGTGCTCTGAGTTCACCCATCTTCTTACTCTAAATTTATGCATGTTGACATAACTTCCTGAAGTGTATAATTTGTAGTATTATTGGCCTGTGTGCGTGTAGCGTGTGCATGTGTCACCGATGCTGCCCACTGATGCTGCCGTCATTGAGTACACGGTGTCGAGTGTGAGCAGAGTTCGTGCAGTCACAGTTCCACGAAACATCATCTGTCTGGCTTGCACTGTACATGTAGTAGTAAGATTCATGCTTCATTTGTGCAAAGGTATGTTTACCGTCCATTTGTGTTTGTGGGTCACATGAACATGCATCATGCTGAGATGTGAAAGAATGTGTTGGAACATCTTTTATGCATGTACTGTAGGCATTATGTGCAGTGTGTATTATTTTCATTCATACATGTACATGTATACTTTGGCTGATGGTAGACATACAGTGCACAAGTACCCTTTGTGATCACATGCTGCATATACATGTATATACTGTACACCTGTGCACATTGGAATTAATACCTCTACAAACCGGTAAATGTATGTCCATGTACATTGAGACTTGGAAGTACGTGTAAATTTATTTATGTTCATGTTGGACCTTGTTACATGTATACTGCAGGTTCAGCTGTATTCTCAGAGAGTACATTGTTTACATGTAGATACAAGTTTGTTTGTGTGTTCTGTTAATTACGAGTACATGTAAGTACTTTATTAATTAAAGTCATTTTAATGTGAACTGCATGTACTTTTGGATGGGAACAGCCCACGTTCACACTACGTGTATCTTAAAAATACAATGTACCTACAATCACAATGATTGAAGGATACATGTACATGTGCTGTAACACAGTGGTAACCTTATTTGTCCTTTTAGCCTGGCAGACACACCAGGGAGTTTGCTCAGTGGACTGTTGAACCAAGGCAACAATTTCCGTGTAATTGCTCAGTACTTGGCACCTGATATGGTTGTCTAGTCAAGTTCAGATCCATTATGTGAAACTATTGAAGTCTAACAGTGTTCACCTTGTGATGAGTATTGATGTCTACAGTCAACTGTGCATTATCACAGAGACTCATTGTGAACATGTACAGTGTGTGTAGTGTGAAAATGGTGGTCACCGTTTCATGAATTTTTACAAGTTTCTTGAATGACGAGTTTGTTACATGTCATTGTGGCTAGACACTTACCAGTATTTATGTACATGTACATATATGTGCACACATTGTACACATTAGGGCAAAATCGTACCTTTTTTTTTCCACTGGCATCCCTATGGAAATTATGTCCATTACTATCCGTAACAAATTGTATTGCTGGGTAAGTGACTCTTGAGAGTCCAAATGGCCATAAATTTTTCATTCAACTTTTACATTGTAAAGCCTGCAAATCTAATACAGTACGTACATGTACATGTACCAGTACATCATATACATGTACCAAGTTCCAAAATGTCCCTTAAGTTCTAGTATCCTACAACGTAAAATGTTCATGCACATGTATACATGTACCAGTGCAGATTCTCCCTTTCTTTCCAAGAGTTGAATTTCCAATAGAAATATTGGTACATGTACATTATACTACTCACATTTTGTCCAGGTTCACATTACATGTTCATGTATGTGTACATGTATGTTTTGTACTGTTCAGTGCACATGTACATGCATACATTCGTACACATGTTGGTCATACAGTACTTGTACGGTACACCTGTTGGTACAGGATCTCCCTCTACAAACTGCACATATCCAGGTTGGTATTGTGATGAGCTGTGGACCAGAAGCCCCCTCTATTAGTTATTTCCCTGCCTGGCTTTGACAGGAAAACACAGGCTGTTGGCAAAATATCAAGAGTTGGATATCAAGGATACCCGTACAATGTATGTATAGTACCATGAAACTTACCGTACGTGGTGTTTTCAGAGACATGAATATATGTATACTGTACTTTAACATGTACAGTGTGGTCCAAGTACATTGTCAATGTATCGGTACTGCTAGTTTCCACGCCTCATGGCAAACTGTTAATGGTCTTAAATTTTGAACTGGGTACATGTGCATCGCTACATGAACATGCTTACCACATGGTTGGGTCTCTGCGGAAACATGATTGCTGTGAAGTCAATTACGGAGTTTTCTCTGGCCACATCATGTTTCCTTTGAGTAGATACATGTACTATGTGAAATGCCCCATGCTACTGTGTTGCCAGGTATGGTAGGGTGTAACTATGCACAATACATGTACATGTAAATTGCTACATGTACATGTATAATCACGAAACTGGAATGATGTGATGTGACACAGCATAGAAAGCTGTGTAACCATACATACATGTATACATGCACAATGTCACGGTACTTACACATGTACATGTACCGTACTAGTACATGTAGCAATTGCGAACCTTTAATTAATTAATCTGAGGTTAAAATTTCCCTGACATTGCAGGTACATGTACATGTACCATTTAGTGTGTTGGACTGGTGCATGCACATGTACATGTATGTTAAATCCTACTCGACAGCCAAAGCGACTTTTGGGAGTGTAGGTTGTACCATAGAGCAAGGGTTGTGCTGTACATGTACAGTACATGTACATAGAGCATGCATATTTGTCATACCAGATCTGGGCAAATCTGCCGCATTGCTGAAATACATGTACACTGTACATGTATGTGGCCTTGTACGTGTACATGTAGGCGGCCTTGTACGTGTACATACATGTAGGCCTACTCACGGACCCTACATGCAGTGCATAGCCAGCATGGATGAGTGAGGTTGAACTGTTTCATCCTGCCTACAAAGTGCACTTGACAACGCAGAAAAAAAAGAAGAGCTTACATGTACATGTGTATGTGGCACTTCAGTAAACAATCTGTATGCAGAGTGGACCCTGTACATATATTTTAAATGTTAAGATGGGGAAAAAAGTTTTGAATGAACTGCAGCTACGGTACAAACACGTACATACTGTTGACGTGTACATATGTACAATGTACAGTTGTAATGGACAATCCAAAGTAACAGTGCGATTTTGACTACTAATTTTTTACAAAATCAGGCCAACTTAGCACAAAATTTTCTCCCCCCATTAAAAAAAATGCCAATACTTAGTCATTTTGCTTGCTAGGCAGGAATGCATAGCCAACAGAGTGCCGAAGTAAATACGTCACGCACACAAACGGCATTAGCATGAGAACCAGCGCATGAACCAACACACGCACGTATTCGTTTGCACTATACTTCCTGGTTCAAATGACGTCACACTTTGGTACTCTGTATAGACCCTCCTTTATGACATAACGAGGTACTGTACCTGTATACTGACAGTGCAGAAGTTCATAATTGAACACTGATTTCTGGGTTGTTTCCATTTTATCGTTCCCTTTATTTTGGGATATGCATCAAGTGTTGGACCTTCAGCTTCTTAAAATGCCCTGTGAAATTAAACAAAGTTTGGTCCATTTGGCACATGATGTCATTCACGGGTAGCTAGTGATAGGTACGTACATGTACAAAGTCAAGAGTTTGACTAATGATAGAACATACTGGTACCAATCAATCGACGTGATAGTGTAATATCTCATGATAGTAAATTTAATGGCAGCAGAGCAGTGTATAGAGAGTTGCGACATACTGTACTAGTACAGTACGTGTACACTGTAAGTGCCACCTCTGTCGGAAATAAACAGGCAGGTGATGCACCATTGCACACAGACAGTGGGTTTACAATAGCCACACACTGTACACACAATAAACAGCCATTTTGTTGCCAAAATCTCTCAGATACTGCTCTAATGTACATGTACATTTACAGCAAACAATATTTTTTCTCATTTGAACGGACGTATGCATGCCGGTACATAAACAGTAGCTATGAGGTGTACGTGTACCGTACATGAACATGTAGAGATGATTTTTGCGAAAGAAAATGAAAGCACCATAATCTACGACAAAATTTATTATGCACTGCAAACTTGGAAAAGAATTTATTGTGGTTTAAAATTTGTCACAAACCCTCAACCAGTTGATCGCTACAATGTACATGTACATGTAGTAATGTGTTGCTACCGATGAAGACCTGTACTGTATGTTACATTTACATAATGTATACATGTACATCTTGTAGAAGCCTCCTCTGAGGTGGTACATGTACCTTGCTGTATACACACTTTATGTGATTGATTCCTCTTCATCTGAGAAACATTTGCCAAGTATGTGTACATGTACCGGTACAAGCCTCAAATTTGAAAGCGCATGTGACATACATGTACATGTATACATGTGAGTCAGTGTACTTGTACCCTCACGGTGATGCGTCTGGTAATTGTGGTATGTGGATTATGCAGGGTGAGTCTCGGTTAAACTTAGAGAAAGATGACCATCTGAAAATGTTGAAGATTTACACGACTGGCACATTCTAGTGACATGAGCTTCGTGTATCTTGCTACTTGGTTGACTTGCTGTGTGAGCAGCTTGAGCTGTCAAACAGTGAGATATTAATAGTGTGGCTTCCAGTGGGCTTCAGGCTGTTCCAAATCTAATCATGGCTTTGGTAGTTGGCACATGTACCGCTACATGTACAGTATGTGCACTGCCATTAGATTCAATTGTGAGGGCACTAGCACAGTGGATTAAATCAATTTGGGAAATCTGAACTTCGTAATTTGAGTACACACAACCATGCATGGCGTGTCTGTTGCTTCAGTGCTATATATGTAAGCTATACCTGTATTCACAGTCAGCATCGGGATGAATACATGCACCTGAACATGACCAGATTAGTACATCCACTGTACACGGTTTACATACGGTACAGTACCAAACAACATACATGTACTGTACATGTACAAATGTGTACACTGTATGCCTGATTGCATATGTTTCCTCATGCTGCATTCATTAGGTTAACGCAAAGAAATTGGTTTTTACAGGGACAATGAAAAATGTGTCCAATTGTTCCCGGTACATTGTACGTGCACTGGTCTGCTGACCTCTCTACCCAGATCATGTCCTATACGTGTACATTGTCACATGTTCGGTACATGCATACACAAAATTTGTGCAGTTTGCATATGCATACATGTACATGTCATGTACATGTGTGTTACTCCAAGTATTGTTTTGTAACTGAAGGTAATTTCAAAAAAAAAGTTTGCTGACACATGTGCCTGTATTAGTGTACCCTACAATGTATTTGTACATGTATAAGTGACTTTAACATATTGTTTGCAGAATCTGAGAGTGGAGCAGTTTTGCTGCTTCAGTTTGTGATCACAACAGGAAGACCGCTATTCAGGTTTTTGTGTATGGTACATGTACAACGTATGTGAAACACTGCTTGTGGAATTCTTTGATGAGTCATTACGGTATTATGGTGTTGTCAGTTAAAGCTTCATGTACTGTAGGCACTGGGTTTGGAAGGTTTTTTTCTCAGATACATGCCCGATTTACAATACTCCCCTATTATAGTTCGTAGGGCACATTCCCGCTTGCAATTCCATGCACACACTCTAAATGTATGTACATGTATGGTAACACACTCGAAGACATACATACATGTAAATGTTTGGGAGTTTTCTCATCTTGTATGGTGATATCCCATTAAAAAATGCAAAGGTACAAACCATGTTTTATGGACAGTTACACATGTGCCAACAAGATTAACCATGGATATTAGTAAGCTCATTTTGTGTAAAGTGCAGCGTACCCATCCTGACTTGTTTGTTCCTGTTCAGTGTTTCATTCAGGATGTACATTGTAAATTGGCTTTACATGTACCTGAACATGTATACGTCAGTACATGTACATGTACACGTCATATTTTAAATTCTCCTCCTTTATATTTGCCATTTTTCCATTATCTGTATTCTTGCAGGTCAAGTTTCTTGCTCACAGTTACACATGGCATGCATGGATGCCCTCCCAATTCATATGTATCGGTACATGTACATGTACAATGTTCACATGATTTGTGAATCTTCAGATTTCCAAAGTTTGGAGGCATTTACATGTACATGTAACTAGTTATTCTGAGCTGTAGAATCCAGAGTTAGCATATAATTTTTATTTAGCAACCAAAAAAAGAGGGAACCAAATGATACGATATCTGTCCACTTGATGAAGTAGATGGGACATATCCCTCCCTCCCCCGCCCCCGCATCCCCCACTGATTGGTGCCATGATGTACATGTACTACTCATGTACCGGTATGACATGTACATGTGTATGTGTACATCATTGTATGATTTATTCATGTGTTATGTACAGGTACATATACAATACCAATGTACAGTTTGATATGTGAGTATTGTAGGGTGCATTTTTACCTTGTGATAGCTTATGGTACATGTACATGTAACAGTTCATGTACCGGTATGGTACCGTAATTTCTTTTAAAGACAATTTCAATGTAACATTTTGTGTTGAGGCATTCCACAGACTACTGGTACATGTAGCATTCACAGAAATGTTTTACTGTCAGCAGGCTTTGTAAAAGATTTGCCACGGACATTAAGATTCGATTTGGTGCACTGAAATTGGTTGTTTTCTTTTCAACTGACATTTCATTGCAGGTCTTGTTGGCAAACTGATGCACACTTGTAGTCCACTGGTGAAGTGAGGAGGATGGCTAACTGCAAAACACAGGTTTAGTGTGCAATTTTCATTACAAAACCAACCCAACCTAATCCAAACATCCCAGGCCAGGAGTTTTATTTTTTCATTCAAGATTACTGGCTTTGTGTGCACGGTTAACAGAGGGAGCTATTTTGCCCATTTGTCTCCTTTGGGCGACACACCTTGGTGCATGTGATTGCTTGCAGACATCTGCCATACATGTACAGAGGACAGCGTGCACTATGGTAGTTTTGGAAATTGGCAGCATACCGTACACATTCATGAAATGAATTGCCCAGTCTACTAACCAAAGTTTTCAAACTTTTACCCACTTGTGCTGTGTTTTTAGTAGGAATGCGTCTGAGCTCATGTGTCCATTGTACCCAGTGTTTTGAGAGGAAGTAGATTTATTCATCAGTATTAGGTGGTTGACCGAATCTTACACAGTTACTTAAGAAGCCAACCTAAGTGTAAGCGAAGCCATAGCCATGTACCAGTATCATTGCCAGCCTTTTTTTCCCGCTTGTTTGTGTCACTTTACAGAAGTGTATTCAGCTTACCGAAAGCAGCTCAGTGGACATGTGCACAGTATGAACAACTCTTTTGATGCAAAAGACTGACAGAGTTTGTTTTATCCGCCATGGAAGATCTACCGATTGAGCGGGGCATCTGTGCCTCCAGGGTCCGCTCTTACACAGAGGGAGCCATCCAGCGTACTTGGAAGTCACGACCAGACCGCTTGCCAAGAGCCGGGAAGGGAACAGTGTACAAATCGGTGTCGTCTGTACAGCTGATAAAGAACAGCAGCAATGAGGAAGATGAGCCGTCACTGACTAGTCCGCTCTGCAAGTCGTGCGATCAGTTTCAAGGAGGCATCACCAACAGGCCACTGGGGAAGAAATTCGTGTCATCAGTCAACATTGCGCTCGCTAAGCCCCAGCTGCCCCCAAAATCATTGCTTCCCCATCATGTCTGCCTATCCTATCCTCAAAAAGACTCACAAGACACTGGGTTGTCCACCGTCTTGCCAGTGTTGAAAATGGGCAATGGTGACCCTACTTCTGACATAAAAACAGAAGCCAAGCTGCTCAACGATTCATCCAATTCTGTAGCTGACAGTAAAGAGAAAGAACCTACAGGTTCTCACCAGGATGAGAATAATCTTCCATGGGAGGCCAGCGAGGAGTTCCCACACATTCCTGTCCTGGTGAGAATCAAGCAATTTGAGAAGCAAACAGGAGCCCTCAACAACCGGAGTTTCTCCCCGCAACGATGGAAGCGCAAAGGCAGACCAAACTGTAAGAAGTCCTTTGGAAGTGTGCATAGCAGCCCACCACTGTCAAGACGCAGTTCAGTGGAGGAAAAAGTCATGGTGCGAAATTCGAGGAACTCTTCTCCAGCGATTGTCCACCTGCAGAACGAGGTGGAGAATCTGAACAAGTTTCAGGATAGGGCTCAGGAAGAGCCACCTGATAATAAGACATTTAAACCAGTTGCAGCAATACCTGTGAGCCTTCCCACCATCATTGTCACTTCTCCGCATGTGTCAGGTGAACAGGGATCCACGACTCAGTCTGCAGGTGTTCAAGTGGACGCTATTGATGAGCTGGAAAGTGTAACTGTGCAATGTAATGTATCTGAAGAAGCACATTCTGTGGACAAGCCAGTCATCAACATAGCCGAGTCTGTTGATAGTCTTCCAGAAAACGACCAAAGTGGTCCATCAAGTACCATCTGCCAGGAGACTGAGGTTGGGCAAGAAAGGACTCACTGTGACACTCAGGGAGACATGTGCCAAAGTGAGCACTGTCAGGAAAGGAGAGTGAATGAATCAACTGAAGTCCTGTTAGATTCTGAAAAAGTTTCCTCTCAGCCAATTTGTGTAAGTGCTCGCTGCAACAAGACAGAGTATGTTTGTGATACCACTGCCAGTTCTCATGTCGAAGACATTGACTCTGCCGTATCTGACAAAGACACTAATGAGTGTGCAGTTTCCAAATGTGACACATCCGAGTTAGACTTAACCAGAAATGGCCAGTCCTGTGATTGCACTGCCACCGATACAGATAGTAGAGACCACCCTGAGAGTGTGCCTCATGTTGATACCTTTGCCTTGGATCCTGTGAGTGAAATTGGGAGAAACCTGGAGGATGATTCAACCGAAAGGAAAATACATCTGGCTAGTGTTGAAGCAACAAGCGCTTCTGAAGAACCTTCAGGGAAGCACTTGAATGATTCATCCAGTGACTGTCAGCCTTTTCAACACTTACCCATCCCATGTGGTAGCACGGGATTCCCAGAAGACCTGAGCCCGGAGCTTCAGATCCTGTCGCCTGAGGAAGAGGTCCCAGATGATATCCAGTGCAATATATCGAACCCTCTACTACAGTGTGTGACTGCCCCAACCAACCGCTGCCAATCAGATGAAGGGCTACAGGAGCTCCACCGAATTCAGCCACTGATAGATGAGATATTCAAGGTGGGAAATGTCATGGACACTGATATCTACAGCCAGCGCTGCAGCCAGCAGCTTGGAGAATGTGGATCCGAGTCCGAAGTATTAGAGATTGCTGTAGCAAGGGATGGCTTGGCTCCCAGACGGCTTTCGGGAGATAGCAGTCCCTGCCTGAGTGACTGCTACAGCAGTAGTGCCAGTGATGAGGAGTCATTAATGTCCGATGGAATGACACCACTCGACTTCAGTAACAGTGCCAACAGTGATTGCAGCATCCGTATCAGCCAAGAAGTCTCCAGGACGGAGGGCACAGACCTTCTGGTTTGCCAGGAATCTACATGTACTTCTCAAACGGAGGAGCCCTCTGACACCGATTCTGGAGAAGATACAGACGATTCCCTGGCCTTAATGAGCGAGAGCGAGTCGTCTGATTCCCTTGATTGTACAAGAGAAGTGCTGGCTTCCAATCAGATACCTGATCTGTCTTCATCCTTGGGGGCATGTGGGGGAGTACTGCCCTTGGGTAAATCAGAGAGTGCCACCCAGTTGAGTGCAGACAGAATCACCTTCTCTAGGCACTTGTCTGCATTGACGGAAGGCCAGCATGGCAGAGACTCCAGTTCATCCTTTGATAGTCAGCTCAATGCTGATCAGAAATTGTTCCTCTCCAAGGTTAACCATCTCATGGACTTGGTACAAAACCTGCACCACCCATCCCCTGTCCGGATGTCAGTGCCTTCTTCGAATGTAGACAAATGCATGGCAGTTGCACAGAGAGAGGGGCAGAGTTTGCCCAGTGACATGAAAGCAGTGTCAGCTCCTCCAACACAGAAGGACAGTGAACTACCCACAGCGTCAAGGAACCAACCTGTTGTGGAACTGAAGGTGACTGGCAAATGCGATTTCAAGCCCCGCAGACACACTGGGCGTAAGAAGTACATCGACCCAGACAAGGTCAGCCACTTTCAATACCTCATCCTTCAGTCGCCCCTGGTCCTGTCAGACCCCGAGGACAGTGACAGTGACGAGAGCGACGTGGAGCTGAATGAGTTTGGTGAAGTGAAGCAGGACTATCCCCTGGGCCGGCTGCCTGACTACATTGTGGCCCAGATTTTCAGGAACCTGGGCACCCGGGACCTGGCCGCCCTCAAGTGCGCCTGCAAGGACTTCAAGTGGCTGATTGAGAGGTTTGACATCAAGGGCCTGGACTCCAGGTGGTCAGAGGAGCTGCTGTACCGAGAGGATCCCTGCATGCAGTGTGGCAAGATCCGTGACCCCCGGGGCGACGTCTCGCTCTGCCGCTGGCACCCCAAGATCTACTACAAGAACGGAGAGATCGGGCGGCGCTACTGGACCTGCTGCTTCTCTGGGGAAGAGGACGCTCCAGGCTGCGATATTACCGTCCATGACAACAGGTGGTCAGGGTCACACTCCCGATTGTGCAAAGTTGCCCGATCCTGGAGGCAGTATTGGAGGAGTTACCCCATGGATAACTGAATGCCTACTGAGAAGAAATCAGCCTGTTGGTTTGAAAGCATTAGGGCCAGTTGAAAAAGTAAATCAGTTTCTCGTCCCACCAGCTGCTTCATGTCACGCTTTTTGGCTTCCTTTTGCCATGCATTTTGATTTTTTGGTTTATGATGAATTTCATGTTTGTGCATTGTACAATAGCTACAATTGCAAATTAGTAACTTGTTAAGATATGATAAAAGGACAGAAAGCCCCCAAATGGCTATTTGGATCAGTAAAAGAGTCATCTTGGAAAAATCTGCCACCCTGATAAAAAAAACCGCTAGCTCCCTTTAAAAAACTGCTGGACGAGAAGCTCTTTTGTTTAACTTGGCCAAATCTCTTCGTGGGTGCACCATGGAAAGGTTTAATATTCACATTACCCGTAATAATAAACCCAAAACCACTGGCAGTTTTCAACTGGAACGAGAAAAAGAAAATATGAGAGGGAAAAAATGTTTTCTTATTAAAAAGATCTCGTCTTCAAATTTTTCTCCAGGCAAATCACAATTTTTGTGAAAATTTTGGTTAAACTTCATTTTGCAGTTGAAAAGATACAAAATTTGGAAGTGATAAACGAACCAGTTATATGCATGTACATGTATACCTGTAACATCAACTGTACATAGTGCCACGGCACATAGGAAGTTTATGCTTACCATCACCTCTTCAACTAGAAAAACTTCACACAGTTTCAACTTCAGGATGTGTCTTCAGGCAACTGTTTACAGGAAGTATAGTTTACAGGAAGTTATAGGAAGTATAAATCTCTTCTGTAAACTTGATTCATTTCATAAAAAGCCATAAAAAGGAGTCTTCCAATAAGCTTTTTGCAAATTATATTTATTATGATTATTTTGCGAACAAAATCTAAATCTAGTACACTGACTTACATGTATCTGAGTGCATATAAACAAAATTTAATTCTCCAGACTAAAGACATTATCGCTATACCTCGTGATTTGGGGCAAGTTTTTGCTTAGTGACCATCATCTCTTGAATGGACTGGTTCCTTTGTGCCCTTCTCATCCATTGAAAACAGTGTATTAAATCACAAGGTATATCAACATTGTCTTTAGTATGGAGAATTCAAATTGCTATGTTCACACGAATTTAAAGAACTCGGTGTACCAGTTTTTATTCAATTTTAACATGCAAAAGGCTTATTAACATGATTTTCAGCAATTCAGTTAGAGTTTTACTCACATGTACTCATAGGTGTGGCATTAGCCTGTATGACTTTTCACATGTGGGAGAAAACAGGCTGCATTCTGTTGTGCAGTAGGCACATGTATGCTGGTATGGGCCATAATCACATGTACAGACATGTACATGTAGGGTACACATTTGCCATTAATGCATGTGAAAGCGCATGGGTATTGTGCAACTGAGACGGTCTTACGCAGAAATGTGCTGGAAAGAAATGCTTGAATTTAAAGAAAACCAACCTGTCTGTGTTACAGCGGTACATCGTTTGAAGAATGAATACCCATGAAACAGTTGAATTATACGTGTCCCCAAACCGGTAGGTTATAAGCATGCAGTTACTGCGGTACTGCAGTGATGCAGCTTTCAACTGTTGCACAATTCAGATCAGATCCGAAGGCCTGCATGTGCAGTGTTCTCGCATGTGTGCAAGTTCACCAGGAATCATATGAATGTCAGCTGCTGTGACATCTAATTGTAATTGTTTTACTTCACCCAGGCTGCGTTTGCCGGGAACTATGTTGAGCGTATTCGGGCATTTCTTGTGGGAAGCAACCGTGGGCAATTCAACTGTGGTACTTTCTCGCGTTGTGATCAATTCAGCTTGTGCGTGCGCAGTTTGGATGACCAAGTGTAGGACATTTATCAGTATCATATCAGTTGCTGCATCTCTTCTGCCAGTATTTTCCTAAAGGTTCTTCAGCTAGACATGTAAGGGCCGGCGACCATTTAGACCCGGTTTGAAAAGGGCCCCCCGGTAAGCTCGCCCGGTTGCAAAAACCCCTTTCATACCGGCCTGGCTACCGGCCTGGGATGCTGGACTGGTTGTTGATCTCGAACTTCTTCTAGACCTGGGGTCTATTGTTTGCAAGTACTGGTACATGTAATCTATCCCAGAAGGAACCGTCTTGTGGTTTTTAATCCTTCAGCTCTATACAATGTTTACACTAATCCGCTTAGACCCCTATTCATCTGTGCAAGCATGGTGGGGGAAGCCTTTCATCAGTGACTTTGAAATGCCAATGTGCAGACAGGCCTTATACCGGCCTGGAGTAGGCTGGATACCGGGCAGGCTTTATACCGGGGGGCCCTTTTCAAACCGGGTCTAAATGGTCGCCGTCCCTAAAATGAGAGTCTTTATCAGGGTTGTGCTATCTGTACTTATATTTGGATTAATAGTGCCACTATATTCTTATCTTATCGTTCATGGCATCCACCGATACATTCATTGACAGTTCAGTGTTCTACTGTCTGCCATTATAAAGAAAATCCACATCTTTATTTAGCATTGTAACCTCGTCTAATTGGGCAAAAGTGGTTAATTATGACTAATCAAAGGCCAGGTCATACTTAGGGCTGACGCGAAAGCAAAGCAAATGGGACATCACAGAACACTTGCAGCAAAGATTCCCCCCAGTTGTGACTTAGCAGCGCGAACATTTGCTCTGACCTATCCTCTTTTGTACCCAGTGTGAACCAGCCTTTGCGTGTCTTTTTCAGCCAAACTGTAAAGCAGTTTGGTAAGGGTCTTTTTTAGTGTAAAAAAAAAACCCAAGAATTGCATGATATAGGAAAGTCTAAAGGTTGACCCATGACCCCAAAAGGTGTTTAATGAACATGTGATTTAACTTGCGAGAAATCCTACAAGTTGTACTGAGAGAAAAAGTAACTCTTCACGCTCAGCTGTGATTGGAAATCAGAAAGGAAACTTAATTTAATCCTAATCCATTTCAGATTCTAACAAATGTATTTTGGATACATATTTTTTTAAATGATGAATGAGGGACAGAGTCGTTGTATTTTTTGTTGGTTGTGAAACCTCCAGAGAGATAGCTAGCCATGTCACAGAATTTTGAAAACTGCACCACATATTGTAAATCAGAATCAGTGTACGTGTACATGTAATCTGAATGATTCGAGCTTTCCTGTGTCAGAAAATAATTCACCAACCTCACCATTATTATTCAGAACTGATAAATGGAATGTTTTCATAAATGAAACGAGACAGAAGGCAGTAACAGCATGACTGATTTACATTTACATGTACAAAGAATTGCTGGTAAACTTGTGTTAAGGGCATGTACAGTATTCCTTTTTTTATGGGCATTGAGGAATTCCACACAGCTACATGTGCGGACAACTGCAGACGTGTTGGTAATGTTACAGAGTGGAAGTTGTGAAATTCACACTCTCATGGAGGCAGGAGATTTGAAGTCACATCCTCCTGCTCTCCTAGGGTTTACAACTTACTCGCCCACGGTGACAAGCTTACAGGAGCTGGCTGGGCGTTCAGCTTCACATTTCGAGCGACAACTCGCGATGCACTGATGTACACTGAAGTAGTGTCCACTTGCTTGGTCACAGCCAAAGTTGTGCTTGTCCCGAAATTCTGTTGCACCTGTCAGTACGTGCGCATGCAAGAGCCACGCAGGCTTGTCGTTGTACATGTACAAACGTGCTCACTGTTCAAATAAATGAAACTTTCAATTGTGTAAGCATAAGTTGGGTGCAAATGTAGATATCTAATGGAACTTTTATCACAAATTGCTGTATTCTACAATTTATGTATATTGAAATAAAAACACAAAAGAAGTATGCTTTGGTGGCTGTTTTATCCATTGGCAGGTGGGATGTGATGAATCACGGTATGCTGGGCGCCATTGGTAGCTCTGTGCGATCGATTTGCCGATAATTCTCCTGTCAACTAGTCATCTTTTATAATTTACAGATGTGGAAGATTGTTTAAAAAACGGAGGTAAAGTCAGATTTGCACAACAGGATCACATGATTGCGCTGATCAACTCATGGCGCCCAACATCACTTCACGACCAAGTCTAAGACTTCTTGAAATCATACTGGCCTTTCTTGTTGCTGGATATCTCTTGCACTTGGCCCAGCCGTCCCAGATATTCCCGAGGTGAATTCATGTGTATGGAACAGCTTTTACTCCATGCTGGCATTGTGGGTTAAACAGCCAAAAAAGTCATGCAGTGTCCACTGCCTTTTTTCTGGGTGCTGCACTTCACCCAGCAAGGAAAGTTTGTGGAACATTCAGTTTATGTTAGTGCTGTGAACATATTTATGTGGATGATGAAGAAGAGGATTCAATCAAATTAAGCTTGAGAGTTAATCTCAGTTGGACTGTTGAAGGATGTTTGGTGATTAAAGTGATCTAGCTTTATGCCCATGCTTTAAAAATCACAGTGCATGTATCTATTTTGTGATAAACTCTATTTGCTTCTACTTGGCTAACAAAACCTCTGTGACAAAAATTAACAATATTACTGGGAAGAGATTCTCAGATTAAAAAAACTGATGCATGCTTCACATACATTGTACATGTGAACTGTACAGGAGAAAAATCCCAATACATGAGCAAATCACTTGTCGTAAGGAAACCCGTCACTCTCTGTGTAAGTACACATAACACACCCTGTATGTAAAATGTATTTATATTGCAAAAATACACTATTGTTCAAAACACTTTATTTCAAAACAGGATTTGTATATAAAAAGAAGTATTTTGTTACATAGTTTAATGTGTAGATAACTGCATCATGAATAATTTGGAAATATTATTTTGAGCGTCTTCTTTGGGTTGCAAATGTTCACTTTCTGCTAGAGTTCTAAACCAGCATTATCGGATAATGAAAAATAAACACTACCATGTTTTCTGACAAACTAGACAAGTGTGCTCTTTTATTCAGACTCATTTCTGGTGTTTGGGCAAACGGGGAAGGTCACACCCACTGTGTTTCTTACATGTATCGGACTCGTCACTGTCATGTACAACCCAACCTAGTCTCGTCCTTAATATGTGCATATTTCACAACTGACACATTATATGCACAGTATTACATTGAGCCATCTATATGCTGCACTTGTTGTTTTCAAAACTACAAAATGTGACAGACTGCAACAACAATAGCCTGGGTAGAGATACAAAGCACTAATCTCCGGCTTACAAAGGGAGCGTCTTAACCACTGAGCTGTGCAAACTGATCTCTTGGGGGGGGGGGTTTGGTGGTACTATTACAGAATATAGCTAGCTATACACCTCACTGATAATGGTCAATCGAGAGCGCACTGCAACAGCAAATTTCTGAACATCATCAGGAGTCACAGGGAGACTGGCTTGATGTTACTGGTTTCATCTGAGATACAAATAGCTACTAATAATTGGGGCTCCCTGTGTACGGAAATAAATGCTTCAGGTATTCCAAACACCGTGATCTGATTGTAAGAAGTTCAGCGTCAGAGGACTATCCTTTATTCTGTGCATAAACTTATCACTCCTGTCTGCAAGTTAGGGTCCCCTGTCAGTCAGAAAGCAAAACATGGCCGGTGTGCAGGATGACATTTAACATATGTACTGATGTTGTCACACGGATATACCATGGAGGAAGGACTCGGGAGTTTGAACTGCCCGGGCTATAAAATTGGGCCAATTACCGCTTTCTGGCATGCCCGGTATGTCCATAGCCAGAGCGTAACGCACGCCTGCTACTCGCCACCTGTTCTGCAACCATTAGCCCCCTTTGTACCCCGTGAGCGTCGCCGCAATTTTTCGTTGGTAATCTGCATCCCTAAAACATTGTGTACTGTAGTATAGGGAGTTGAATATTCACGCCATCGTTGGTGCTTGATATGATCTGGCAACAACAAATTTACTGCTTGTGCAGTTGCTTTTACTAGGCTGTGTACCCGAAGTGTTCATGTGCAGTTGTTGCCCTTATCAAACGCTTTCTTCTGGACTTCTTTTGGGAATAAATAGCCAAACTGTTTGTAAGATTTAGAGTTTTATTTGAATCAGTTTTATTACGGAATTTACACAAAAAGTATTTTATGAGATCTCATGATCACTCCCTGTGATGAAACAGGGCATTTTGTTCTTCATGAACTTAACTGTCCTGTGGTGGTCAACATGTTGTTGGCCAGTCTTAGCCAAACTTTACAAAGACTTTGAAAACTGATCTTTTGGAGTGACAAAATAAAATTACAAACATATGCATGGATAATGGAATAGGGCATCAAAATCTTTAAAATATTATTCAAAACGGCAAAAGTAAATCTAATGTTAGATATTTTTTTTTCTGTTTCCTGGTCACGGCGATAGGTTGTAGTTAATTCCAAAGAAAACACCTCAAATATTGTTATGATATTACTGGTCCCATTTGTCCACCTAAGCTACAGGCAGTAATCAGGCATTTTTGGAATGTTTACTATTGTTCGTCTGACCGGGCGGTGATGATCATCGAGTACTTTGGTGTGCCAGAGTTGTAACTCCTTCTGTGTCCTTCCTCCATGGATATACTGACACAGTAAGGGAGCATACGTGGGGTCTGGTTCCTGCCCTCCCCTCCCAGTGTAATACCAAATACTTACAATGCACATTACTAAAATGCTTGTGACAAATGCCTGTGCGTCAAACTGTGGCTGACTGTTTCTCTCGCCGTTTGATGTGGTGCAGCAGTCGCAGCACAGCGGCTGGTGTCATTCCCTCGATTCGACTAGCTGCCGCTATCTTGCTCAAGAAAGTGCAAAAAATTCAAAATGACCACATTAAACATGGCAGATTACTCCTGCATTTATGATCTCAGCTTACCAACATACAAATCAAGACTATGCTTTCTTTCTATGAATGTCTGCTGTACCATTTTTCACTGATATACATGAACGTCATTAAAATTTTTATCTCTAAAAGTGGATACACAGCATGGTAGAGAAAGTTTAATAAATGAAGAAAACCTGACATGAACATCACAAGAAAGGGGCAAGGCTTTTCGGGGGGGTAGCAAAGTACTTAGCAGCACCAAACTGACAAAACATAAACAGAAGAAGGGAGTAAATGTTGAGGTACAGTAAACTCTGGCTAAGCCAGCACTCTCGGGACACAAGAAATTATGACGACTTACGTGAATGCCGACTTGTGCTGTAAGTCGTATTTTGCCGACTTACACGTACACATGTATTGCTTATGTACATTATGATTAATTGCCCTAATTCAATGGCTTTGATTTAGCCTGGTTTATTTCTGCCTCCATGGTCGATCCCAGCAAATTTGTTCTCAATTATTATCCTCACAGGCTGCAAATTCGATAATTGATCATGTACCTCTATAAGGACGAAGCAAGGACGGCAAGCCACTTGCATATCACATCACGACTTGACAGTGCAGGATGTACATGTACGTGATACAGTTACGGTACAGAAAACGTACACTCAACCAGCCGCATGCGCATTGGTCAATTTCATTCAATAAGGTGACCCCCAAAATGGACAGAGCCCATGCATGTAGCCCTAGAGGGGTTACTGGTATTGATGTACTCATGCTTGCCGATTATCAACCATGGCCTGTGTTGCTAATAAACAGACATCAGTCAAGCGGTGTGGGACTTGTCACTTGACACTTCTTGGCAACAGCTGCGAAAGAAACTGATACCGAAGCACATTTTGTTTTCATGCGGACTTACACAAAGGAATTTTTGTGGAAAATAGACAAAGAAAAACATACCGACTTAAACAAAATAATGACTTATAAATGCCGACTTAGAAATGAAATTTTCAATGGAAACGCATTACAGACGATCAGGACTTTTGTCAACAGGCCGAGTTAGACGATATGATGAGTTACGCAATGCCGACTTAGTCGGAGTTTACTGTACTTCCGTGCAACTTGGTGATTTTCATTCACTTTTTTCTGTTTTCCCCTTTTCTTTTGTCTTATTTTGTCCCCCTTTGTGAAACTCACGAAAACCGACACCCACTCGTTGCAAAGGACAAATTGGTGGAGGCAAGTTGAAGACAGTTTACATGGGATTTGGTACTAGCATGAAGCGATTCCATTTTGACTGGGATATCCCTTGTAATCAGTTTAGAAATCCTTACTGTTTGAGGTCGAACAGCAGAAAGCTTGGCGATTGCTTCTCTGGACATGTTTAAACTGTGAAAGAAAAAAGTTTAGGACTATTTGAGAGTAAATCAGGTTGGTGTAGAGGCTCTTTCCTTGCCGTCCACCTCTGTGACCCAGGTTCGAATCCCACCTAGGATATAGTTTTCAGTCCCTGCCTGACTCAGTGGGTTTTCCCTGGAATATTCATTGTCTTCTAAATTGTCACTTCATCCTGTAATTAATGCTAAATGCACGGTTGGATGAACAGATATAAATAAACATATAAAAGAGAGAAAAAAATTGAGTTTTCTTCAGCATCAGATGGTGTGAACATGCGACTTGAGCAGATAATTTGCACAATCACAAGGGAATGAGAGATTTCTCTCTTGTCAATGGTTATGATGGCATGAGTGTATATTGAATACATGTATGTTAAGAATTCAAATACTTTTTTTGACTGATTGCATGCACATGCAATCAGTCAAAAAAGCAGTCGGACGAAACGTACATGAAAGGTCAATTTTGTTCTGCCGTCACTGAATTTTGATCAGAGGTATCTGCCTTGAGTAGAAGCACCCCCTCATTGGTTGAAAAGAGCCATGTTGGTAGCGAGTGTTCATTTCAAGTTGTTGGTAGTGAGGCGGCTGCAATAGTCGTTTGTAAACCAGTGAAGTGCAGTTCCCGCAAATGAGCCTCTGTTGCTAGGAAAATTACGCCCTCTCTTGGCCCTGCTTGGGGCCAGTACCTAGATCATGTGAGGGCACACTCTCATGGTTTAAAATGCCATGAACACACAAAAACCAGAGTAAAAGCAACAGGATTCTGCTTTGGTGACTATTAACCTTTGCACTTCTTTCGGGCATTTTGGCCACAACTGCATTTGGTCCGACAAATATTGGAACAAGTCGGGACACGGTGATGTCTGACGGCAATTTCATGCTCTGTATTAAAGTGCAAACCACCCTGCTCCCATGCTTGTCAATCCAAGGGGTTACAGTTCTTTCAGGCAGTGTATACAATGTCACCTGTTGGAGTATAGCATTGCTTTATCTTAACCTAAAACTGGTAATTGCCCACCTGTCATAATCAATATCAGCAGGGAGTACCAGTGATTCATCTTGCTTGACCTGATCGATGTCGCACTGCTGCTGATGTAGCAAAGGGGCGTAGACGCCTGGACAAATAAGATTGGAAAAAGACTCCAGAATAAACTGACAACAAATTAAACAAGATTGGTAGGACTTCAGATCAGGCTTTCCTGTAATTAAAAATTGAATTAAATTATTGAATCAGAAAACAAAAAAATTAAGTGAGAATGTCGAACAAAATTTCAAGCCAAGCAACTTCTGCGTCTGTGTACTGACCTTTGATTTTCAACCTCATCGCTACATTCTCATCGTCGGCATATTTCTTGAGGTCAGGTGCAACAGCTGCAAGATGCTCCAGAGTCACATTCCGGTATGCCAGCATCTCCAGTGCACTTACCAGTCGAAAGGAAAATAGAGGGGAGATCAATGACGGAACAAGAAAAGTTGATTCATTTTTGTGATAATCTCATGTCAAAGTATGTGTAGTAACTATGGATACTACTTTTATTGTTTTTTTTTAAGTTAATATAGTGATATTCATTAACTTCGCATAAGCTATGAAACCCTTATAGAAGTTATTCAAGTTTGCAAGTGAAATACAGCAAGTGGAATACAGTTACCGTTGGCCAACTTTTTAAAAACTCACAAACATGTGCCTGTTGCATCTACAAATAGACAGAAATCCTGCACATCACGTCATACTTTAGTTTCGTCCACGTAGACTACCTCTATTATTGTTAGGGCAGGGAACCAACAAAGTGCTTGTCTGAGATCAGTCCAACATAATACCAACCGACCTGATCTTGCCGGGGATGGTATCGGCGAGCGGCGTTTCCACTTTCAGCTCCTCCATGCCCTGCCTCCACTTGGACCGCGACAGGCGCACAGATCGCAGGACCTCCATGCCTTCATCCAGTCTGTCTGCCGTGGCTTGGGCCCTCTGATACCTTTCAAGGTTAACGCAGCCAGCTTCGAAACCTATCCAGAGTTGGAAAGAAAATACTTTAACACTTCAAACTTGTGGATACTTTTGAAGTTCGCGAGGAGCAGTTTTGAAGTTCTGAAAAGATTCAAGAATGCAGAGTGCAGACTTATTGTTGAGCTTCAGGTAAGACGGAAATAAAGACGAGACTTAAAAAAGGGTTTTGGTAGCAATTTGATTAAAACAGTCTGACAATTTCAAACAGTCTTAATTTAGGCAAAGTCTAAGATGATATCGTTGTCTGTAGTAAAGTGATTCACAGGTTTTTCAAACTATTTTATTTCAGGCAAAAATGTAACCCAAAAAAATCAATGTCCATGGTCAAGTGCTTTTACTTCAGGCAAAAGTCTAAAATAATATCAATGTTTACAGTCAAGTGCTTCATGACCACCTCTCAAGTACTTGTTGGTACTTCACAAGCAGTGGCGAGTACCCCGAGTACCCCTTGTTAGTCACAAGCTATCTAAAAATGCCCTGTGACTAAGACATTTCATTGTTATTGGTCACCCTCTTAGTAGTGAAAATAAACTGACAGTAAATGAAGACGCGGGAATGAATATTACTGAGAAATGGGTACATTAACTCCCCTGCTTCTCACAATGGCTGCATTCATGTGTCTTACTGTCCGCACTCCGTGGGGTGCAAGAAAATGTTTGCTCACTACTCACCCATCGCATCACAAGAACACATCACATGTCTCTTACCACCATCTTGAAATCACCAAATGATGCAAGAGGACACTCCTGATCTGATCCAGAGTATATTCACGTTTACCCATGAGTCACACTCCTGCCACTCATGCACTAAGGAGTATACTCATGCTAACATTAGTAAGATGCTCAAATGCAGCCAACGAGAGAATTAACCAAACGCTGTAAGCATTCCATTCACTGCACACATCATACTGGGAAAGCACTGCTCCACAATTCCTGCCAGAAATGTCACCTTACCTCTGCTGGTCAGCCTTTGGTCAGCGTTGTCCGGCCGCAATGTCATGCGGAACTCTGAGCGGCTGGTGAACATACGGTAGGGCTCTGAGGTGCCCTGCGTGATGAGGTCATCAATCAGCACGCCAATGTAACCTTCAGTCCGGCTGACAGTGAAAAGGGTCTGGTTCCTGACCAGCAAGGCAGCATTCAGCCCAGCGATGATTCCCTGTATTGACCACAGTGACAATGATGATGATAAAACAGATTACATGATTCCATCAATTACACTGACAATGTCAAATGTCTTGATTTTAACAACTTTATCAACAGAATCTAGGATCTGGTTTCAAAACTGTCAGTGAAAGTGTGTGATAAAAATGCAAGGCAGTGCTCAAATTTCACACAATTACCTGGACCATTTGAAAAGTAGCTGTAGAATTTATAGGACAAAAGAGATATGACAGTAAGACGTCTGACCTCCAAACCTCCTAACATCATTCATGGGAAAATGAGAAAATTCCTGAGCATTTTACTTGATCCATTGAATGCAAGAAAAATAAGTCACAACTCAGAGAGTGACAACTACAATATTAAGCTGCATCCAGATCTCTTGTCTAGAGCTAGGTCTAGGTCTTCACGCCATTAGAAATGCGTGAAGACGCGTAGACAATAGACCTAGCCGTAGCTCTGGAAGCCCGTTTTGGACACGGCATTGGACTTGGGAAACCCACTAAAATGGGGCTTATTTCATGGTGCTGTCAAGCAGGCAAAATATCTTCACAAACTCTCAGCACTAAGTGATTGTTTGCTGAGAACCAGTTAAAGAGGAACATACGTTGTATGATGTATGTTTGCCTGGGGACCAGTTTTGTTTAGCATAACTTTTCAGAACCTAGCACAATTCCAAGCCTGGCAATTCCGTGAAACTGGTCCCGTGAACCAATTCTCGGACTTGCTTAGCAGACCACCAGCTGCAAGCCCCCAAAAAATCTTTTTGGCTGGTAAGGCTGCTTTACTGAGCAAATATCTTGTGCCAATTAGCCAATTTGCTAGCATAGCAGTTGCACAAAATTGGCCTTCTTAAATAGACTGTGCTTGAACCAATAGGCTCGGCCAAATGACCCAAATATCCTGAGGTCGGGGGTCAGAGCAAACCTGAGCAGCAGCCTCCTCGTAGCCTGTCGTGCCATTGATCTGCCCAGCAAAGAACAAGTTCTGTAGTCGTTTGGTCTCCAGAGTGCTTTTGATCTGTCTGGGGTCCATGAAGTCATATTCCACACCATAACCTTCAAAGAGAGAGAGGTTTCTTGATTTTGAAGTTTTCATGTCTCATACAAGTGCCTTCAAGGACAAGTTAATTTGGCACTTTATGTTGCCTTGTGTACCAAAAAAAGGTGAAATGGGTTTCCAACATTATTAGTACTGCTGGTGAGTGAGTTTTGGTTGAGTAAAATGAGGTTCTTTTGGTCCAGCTACCAGCGTGAGGGCAAGTCAACGATTTGGCGCATGCTATGTCTACCTATAAAGACAGTCATGGATTTCAGTATTTTCCATTTTAAATTCGGAGAGTAGCATGTCACAGGGCTCTAGTTCAGGACTGTAGTTTAGTCCTTTGCGAAGTTCACAAGTCAACTGAGATATAAGGTGAGTTTAATTTTCAGGCAAAGTACCTTATCAGAGTTGGCTGTGCTACATAAAGTGTATGAACACAACGGCAGCATTGATATGCAAAAAGCGCACATTTTTGCGTATTTCTCGAGTCCCAGTAATTTTGCAAATCCTGGACATTTCCAGCATCCCTCTCACAGTCAGAAGCCCCGGTACCTAGACCATACTGTCTAGTTTTTCAAACTTGATACCTACCGTGCCTCATAGATTGATATACATGTAATTGCTGGACTTAAAGATGTCATTCAACGATGGAGGACATTTTTCTGCAATATGTCTTAGACTGTAGAGTGTACCCATTTATATCACAGAGACAAGGTCTCATTTTTTTAAACTATGTATTTAAAATTCAATGGGAGAAAAAAGTTTGCAGTTTCAAGGGTCCGGCAGACTCAAAAAAGAAAAACAACAGTCCATGCTTTCATTTTGCCATACCATTTTGCCATTTTGCATGTACACAATAATGAAGGGCTCCGAGCCTACCAACCTCAGCGTCAGTGTGTTTTCTGACAGTGACGCTGATGATCAGCCGGTTTCGTCTCACTCCTACGATGAGAATAATCCTGTCAATGAAATTAGCAGCACTGAAGCGGTTTTGCCAAACCAATTTTAGTCTGAACTTTGAAAAGCAAATGCAATCAACAATGGAGATGAAGAGACTTCAGAACACCGACAGTGTGTTTTACCGCGGAACATTGTGCACGGTTACTACATGGACTGCACCGTGCGGAGTGATTTAAAACACCCTGCCGGAACTACTCCCACGTATCACATCATAAGTTTGGCTGATTCACATGCTGCCCTCAATGACGAATTCATACAGATGATGACTTGTTTTAGTAATCCAACCTGGGAAATAAGATTCTAAAAGTCATTTGAATATTCGTCGGATGACAAGAATCCTTTTAAGTTTGGTTTAGCAGGTTTTCAGTAGCACATAAGCCTAATTTGTTACAAATATCCTCCTTAGTTGAACAGCATCTAAAGAAGGACTCTACTACAGTACTGCTCCTGTCAGGTCAGTTATTATAGGTATTATCTCACCTGGTCTGGTCATGACCACGTTTTCCAATCCTCTGACCATGTGGACGCACTGATCCTGTAGGTCAGCCGGTAGCGTGATTGAGAAACCTTGCATGTACACAGTGTCTGTGTTCAGTCCTACAAAAAAATAACCAGAGTTTTAATGTTATTAAAAAATTAAACATGTAAGACAATATTTAGATTGGATATCAGCGTGTGCTATGGATTCCATGGATAGAGCTGGAATGCACTGAGTCGTGGAACCAGTGAATGAGACACAATGTGAACAAAAATGAGTCCAAAGTTACCAGAGCAGCTTTGCATCAAAGGTCTTCAATACATGTAAATCTTGAACAATGTTAATCTCTTTACATCATTGTTGTGTCTTTCCGACAAGCGGCTGAAAAAACAATGGCTGGCCATCAACACAAACGTTAACCCTAACACTCCTCAGTCCTCCAACAGGTGAAGGATTGAGGAGGGTTAGGGTTAAAGAGTAATTCACAAAATGTGAGAAAATCCACAGCAGCCCGGAGTTAAAACACAAGACAATAATGCATGTACAGTGGAACGCTGCTACACCAAACACTGCCATACTGAAAATTCGGCTGTACCAAACATCAACCTTGGCTCCCAATAATTTGTGCACAGAACCTATCGAACACTATTCAGTTGCTGTTTGTAATTCCCGAACGTCAACATGATACAGCAGTCGGTGGTTTTATTATGTTGGAAAGTGACAAGTGGCCATTATTTCCCCAAGGATTAGAAGGGAAAGCCACTAGTTGTCAACGGTATTGAATGGACACTGGTTTTACAATTCTGCATGATCGGGTGCGGTGGAAAACCACACGTACCTGCACGGTGGCATTGCACTAACAATAGTCTAAAGAGGGTGCCGCTGATACACAAATAAACCGAGATTTGCCACAGCATGCATCAGAGATCAATCCTGCGTAGTAGCTTTACGACTTTTAGGATAAACTTGATATCAATTTTGTGACTCAAGATTAAATAGAAAACAAAAAGAATTAACAGATACATTTCTAGAAACCTTAAACTTGAATGCAGTGGCAAAATATCACGAAAACAGCGAACGCGAACTATAGTATCACTAGAGGGTGCACTTCAGTTGAACAAGAGAGGGTGCTATTCAACATGGCAATGAAACATTCGGCAGTTAAATTTGCTATACCGAATGACCACTGTACCGAAAATTTAGCGTAGACCCCGTCATGTTCGTTATAGCGGCGTTCCACTGTACTACTAAGTAATAAATGAAACCACAACCCTTGTTAAAATTAATGGAACAACTGTACATTTTAAACGAATTTGACGTAAACTTGAAAACCAGCCTAAAGGTGATTTTTCTGCAAACTTTGGCCACCCATACAAATGTGGTCTGTCTTGAACAGTATTCGAGTCACATCACAAGTCCTTTGCAAGTCCCTTCTTAAGTCCAGTCGCAAGTCCCTTCACAAAGCCAGTCATAAGTAACAGGGTGAAAAATGACAAAAGAATGCTTTTGTCACAGCTCATTTGAATAGCTTGTGAGTTGGCTTAAGGCTGACTGACTCGTGAGGGGCTTACAGGGACTTGTGAATACAACACTGGTCTTGAACAATGTTAATCAGCATTAAGGAAACCTCCACATTTTCCACCCACATAATATCTATTTCCATCAGCATACCGAACTAAAACAGAATTTATGAAAACATGGTCTTAACCACTTCCTTCCGGGGAGCCCGGTACCAGAGACCTTGGCCGTATATGCATGGCTGGGGTGCTCGAAATTGGAACTTTTTAAGAAAAAAAAAAAAATAAAGTAAGTTGCTCAGCATTTTTAGAAAAAGTTTCTTGCTATCAGTCAGCTGCTGGGACTTGTCAGTCAAGGTTCGTATGCTGTCTGTAGAGTGCTGGCCATTTTAGCGGAGGTAATCTGTTATTGTTTTGAAACAGAACCATTGTTTGCCGCTGCCAGCACCCACTGATCATCAGCGGGGACAAAAGCACTCCAGCACTGAGCGATACAATACCGCACAATGGGAGCTCTGTACTGGGCTGCAGGCGTGGCTGCCATACTCACACACAGATGGAGGTTGCCTGTCAGGTAAGACTCACCACAAGACAGTCCTTTGTTTGGGTGTACAGGTCCAGTAAATGAAGACATGAATTTTTGAAGAATTTTGAAAATGGGAAAAGAAAGTGAACAAGCGCCAAGCAGCGGGTGATGCATGCCACTAACTCCACCCGGCATGAAGTGGTTAAGCCTCAGTTTGCAGGATTCAGTCACAAATGTCAATCCTTCCATTGGGCAAAAGGATGAGAAGCCAAGTGATCAAAAAATGCCTAAAAAGTTCAAATAATTACCTTCGGGTTCCAACCAAATCTGGTGCAGCCTGTCGGGGCCAAACCTGAATATCTTGGACTCGATAGATGGGCAGTATCTTTGGAAATAAAAAAAATGGATTTTTCTAAACAGTCTACATCCACGGTAGCATGATGGTGGTGATGATTGCAATGCAGGAATCCTGACATTGTTTTAAGGTATCATGTGACATCAAATGGAACTGTGAATTGTACAATCTCTTTAGTGATGTATCTAGGGACCAGACAAAGTTTTATTCAATTTCCTCACACAACCATTTAGGTCTTTTGACACTATCCATAAATGTGACATGCCTCCCCCCAACAGATACAAATTTTGCTCTGCAAATGACAAATACAGAAGTCATAGTGATTTGCAAGATACTTTATAACAAATTCTGATGGTTGAAGAGCAGATGTACCAGGCTTTAATTATTCCTGTCTTTATAAAACTAAAAACCGTTGACATCACAACTAACCTTGGCCCACTGACTGTCTCTTTGATGTGCACGTTTAGATGTTTATTCTCCACAATGATGGGACCAATGCCGGGTGTGGTGTGGGTCAGGTGACATATCACCTGATCTTCAGGCTAGAATTGAACAGAAAGTATGAAACAGCTCTAAAGCAGAAAGTTACCCATGTGTGTTGAATTTGGTGAGCTTTGTTTTACATAGCAATTGTGGATGTGCAGTCCACACATTGCAGGTTGTTTGAGCCTAATGTGGACTAAGCCAGGTCCACACAAGGTTAGCCGCCCCCCCTTCTTGAAAACCCGGTTTAGAGGCATTTTGAGGTTAGGGTTTACTGATAGAAAAATGAAGGAAATTGACAACAAAAAAACAAAGCTTTAAAGAGTGTTTGAAGGGTTAGACAAAAATGGGTACTTTCTCTCATTTTTCTTAACTACAGGAAAACAAAAGAAGTTCACACTAGATATGTGACGCAAATGTGTTTGCAACTCTTTCACCTCATTGGGTAAAGGTATATATTTACAAATGGTAACATGGAGGTGGAAGTTGTGCTCAGGAATGGTGAAAGCTGAAAACTAAAATCAAGCCACACTGTCAAGCACCTTTACTGTCACCCTGTCATTCATGAAGGAGAAGGGAATGGGCGTGGCGTCACCATGGTGCCTCTCGAGTTGGCTGTAGTCAATCGTCCGTCCGTCCAACCTAGGTGGTGTACCTGCAAAATGAAGAAATCAATTAGTTAGAACTTCAATCAAGTTGGAAAATATACCTATCAAAAAACCCAGCTCTTTTTACAACGCCTCCGTGTAACATGGGCTGGAAGTAATGATGGCTTCAACTTGCTTCAATGCTCGAAGAGGGCTCATTTCTATTTTGTTGCTGATGATTGGGAGGCGTTAATTCAACTGGCTTAAGATTGTAAAGTGAGTCTTTCTTGTCAATATGACTTGTCACCAGATCCCACAACATGAGTATTAAGGCCATTTGTTTCAGCCGTTTTGCTTTCCTTTGCATTAGAAAGAGAACTGAGCCCTTCATTTCGATGCATCAATCACTTTGATCACCACACATCATGATAAAAATGAGCTTTATGCGGGTGAAAAATGTTGAGGACTGTTTTAGCACTGACTGAAACAGTGTACCATTCGTTTATTGAAGCGGTTTGGGGGCGACTCATTTTGCTTCATGGCATTACATGGAGTGCTACAGTCAATGGTCTTATTTCAAAAGCAGCTCATTTGGAATCGGAAGTGAGGTGATCCCTCCAAAAACTTTTGTGAACACAGAATGTGTGCGAAAACGCAATAGAAGCGAATTATAGATTACCATCCTTTTGCTCTGACAGGCAGTTCCAAATTATGATTAAAACAATTCTCGTCACCCTCATTGCCCAAATAAAAAGTACATGTCAAAGTGAGACTATACCTGTAAATATATCAAAATAGTCGGGCTCCTTCCCATTTCAATGTGTTCAATAAATAAAGTGGATCCTGGAGCATGATCAAGACCAGTCACCTCGTGAATAAAACCCATTGGTGTTCACAAGTTTTGAGCTGTTGGAGTGGTTCAGGACACACAGTGACATGCGAGAGTTGCCAACCTGCTTGTATGTGTACCAAGTCAAAGGTGTGCACATGTGGTGTGTCGGCCCAACAGGATATTGTGGCTCTCTTATTCAGGTAGAAAGCTCACAAATCCTAAGTCAGCTCCCTCTACCTGTCTTCAGCCTTCCTAGCGTGAAGCCTGCCGACTCCAGTGTCTTTGCCAAGCCAATGGTCGGTTCGTCGTTCAGGCGTCCAGCCGGCCGTTCATCTAATCCGATCTGAATCACGCCTCGCAGGAAGGTACCCGTGGTCAGGACCACTGCTTTACTGCTCACGCGGCTTCCATCCTCTGTTTCATTCCAGGCAAAATCACAAAGCATGGATAAAGCCATACAAGTCTAACGTTAATATTTAATATTTAATAACAGTATTACTAATATCTTTCTTTTGGGTGCTCACATCTTCAACTCCTTAAACTTTGTTTCAGTGAAGTAACATGAGTCGTTCACAATTCAACGTGTGCCTACAATCGTAACTTGCCATAAAGAGGTCTTCTTTTTATCTTCAAGGATATCAAGCATCTTCCCATGGTCTGTCAGTGATAATCTCCACATAGAAAACTCAACAGTGAACTCGTCCAATTACACTCAAGTACTACATACATGTAGAAGGATTTATTTTAAAGCTGTTTCTGCATGACGTTTACACTCAAGTTGCTTGTGTCTTTCTGGAGCTCTGGAGGACATAATTCTGATCATTTTGGGTGAAAGATGAGCAGGAACATGTCAAACATTTGTAAAAGGGCACAAAAATAGCTTGACAGTCTTTTACCCAAGTTTTAAGTACACAATCAACACAGCCTTGTTTCTTGGAGTTGATTTAAGCAACACAGTGAACTTGGTAAATTAAAACAGTATCCATCTACATTATTGGTGACTGACTGAAAACAAAACAAAATTTCCAGAAAATGTAACTCGACCAAGAAACTCTCCACATCATCTTATTTTCTACTCACAAGGGAATTTAAAATATGCATTTGAATTTCAATGATATTGTTGCAGTTTACTATAACAAGACAACAAAGTAAGCACTCACTGAGAATGACTCCGTAGCACCCCTTCTGTGCAATGGTATCTTCCCTCTCGGCTTGCACATCTCCTATGATCAGATCTTCCACTGGAGAGGCTTTCACTGTGAGATTAGGGGTGTTCAGTATCTCCTCTTGCATGTGTTTCCTGTACAAGTCCCTGTCAACTTGGGCCCTCAAACCCTACATTCAAAAAGGGGGGTCATACCAGCTATTTTGAACCCCAAAATGTAACATGATAAATGATTTAATACAGTACCGCTAAGCCATCACTGCCTCGTGCTAATAGTTGACATAGTGCGACTCAATACATAGAAACCACTCACGGCTGTAAATCGCTGTACATGTACATGTACCTTGTCTGCGCATTCACAACCAAATCTTGTGACTGTCTTTTTGTCACTACATGAAAAGCTGCAATCAGTTAAACATACCCTCAGTGTGTTGACTGGCATCAATTTAGCCAGTGATGAGACAACACATTTCAGGCAAGGCAGGAAAAATACATTATCAGGGATTAAAAAACTCTTTCTACCAACACTGGTTTGAACATCACACAGGATGCCAGTGTTAGAACAAGAGGGGCTGTCTGTTACCTAGCAACACTCTGCCATTTGGTAGACATACTTTTTAGTTTTTGATTTATTTCTGTGCATCCAACAGTGAATTCTGTGCCAATCACATGATGAAATAATAATTAACAAAACAATGAAGAAACGTACTGTTTTAGAAGTGGGAGGAAACCTCAGATGAATATTCCAGGGGAATCAGGTAGGGACCGAAAACCAAATCCACATGTGGACTGAGCCAGGAATCGAACCCGGACCACAGAGGTGGAAGGCGAGGACAGAACCACTAATTACAGCAAGCGAGGCCTGATGACAGTGTTGCAGTCGAGTTCGTCAGAAGTCCCCGCAAGCCCATTATTAGTCTTCATTTTTAAGCAACATAACAAGCTATAGACCTTTATCATAAAGCTGCCATGTTTGTCTAGTTTCCTGTACAGTCATTGGCAATGGTAACACAACTTCACATAAAAGGGAACAGACTATTTCGCCATGGAGCCTCAGTTTGTTTACGCTGCTTTGAATGGTAGAAATGCAAGGTGGCTGCCGCATGATAGAAGTCTATTCAAATGAAACTGTGCTATTGTTCACCCTCACTCGTTTTGTGTAAGGACTTATGATGGACTTAACGACAACACTGACTGGTAGATGCACACGAGGAACACAACATACCCAAACATGCATAGACCAGTGACAAACGCACAGTACCAATGATGTTTGAGGGTCAACACAGCCTGTCTGTCTGTAATCACTGAGGGTTTAGGAAGGAAATCAAGAACACACAATAAAGATGTATGCATTAAAAAAGCATAGCACTACCAAATGCTTACCCATACGGCCGGTCCCTTTCTCCTGTTGAGCACTTTGAACTGAATCCCTGACTTATCTGTAACAACATAAATACATTTACCGGATGATTCCATGGGTAACAGGCCGACAGACTGGAGGGGCTTTTCACAATGTACATGTATTCTTTTAAATCATGTGGTGGTATAAGTTAGGATCTAAACTCTAGTGCTGTCTCTTTGTTGGAAGTGTCCCTCTGTCTTGGAGACTTCTGCTGAAATTTGGACTTCGAAAGGCTCACATAAGGCTATGTGTTGCCATGGTAACAGACTAACACCTATGCAACCTCCCTTGTGGCATAGAAATCACTGAAGTAGGCAAATGAAAAAGTAATCCCAAAAATACTATAAAGATAGGTCCTTGCTATCTGTTAATGTCCGTAGCTTTCCGAAATAACTGTCTTCATAATAGTGCCCCACATTATCAGTTATCAGGATGACAAATTTTCATGGAAATGCCCCTCCAACTTCTTGGTTTTGCCAAGATTTTGACTTTCAAAGACACTGCCCACTCTTCAACCTGCAAACTCCAGACACACAAGAAGATGTAGGTCAGTGTCATGTGTTATTTCAATGGAGCTCATAGCAATGCTGAAACAACATTTGATACACGTGACCATTTGCCACTATGAGCTGACTTACAGCAACTGTGACATCATTCTGAGCAGAAATCTGAAAAAAAGATTTTTGATTGGTTGATGGGTGTCAGCTGACCACACTGGCAGCTGACCACATCTACAGAACCAAGGCAGCATCTACAGCATGCATGTCAACGAGTGACTCAGACCAGGATGTTCTGAATTATCGAACCCTCTATTGATTTCAAATGGGCAGGCTCAGTTTTTCCCTGTGTTTATGCAAAGTGATATATGAAGCTGAATAGTTACTGAAAATATATGCATATCGTTCGAAGTTGATTATCAGTGTGTTTGTTCCAAGACGTGAGCATGATCTGAAACAAATGACTGACCAGATTTGTCTCACGCATGTGACAAATGACAGATCAATGACAACCTGACTGATTACACTTGTCGTGCAAATGTGACAAATGACAGACCACTGACAACCTGACCGACCAGACTTGTCTCGCGCATGTGACAAAAGACAGATCAATGACAACCTGACCAACCAGACTTGTCTGGCATATGTGACAAATGACAGATCAATGACAGCCTGTACCTGCTATTCTGGCACAAAGTCCATCCAGTGCGTCTACCTCCCTCATCAGGTGACCTTTGCCGATGCCCCCAAAAGAGGGATTGCAGGACATCTCGCCTGAAACCACCAAAAACTCAGCTGATAATGGCAGAATATGACAAGCAAGGCGGTGCGCCTCTTGAAATGCATAGTAGTCACACATTTATCATCCAGCCGGTGATGAGCTAACATTATTTATAACAATAAGGAAAGTAATCCAACACACTGTATATGCACTAGGGTAGGAACGAGAGCTGCAGCTCATGTGGTCAACCCTGATAAGTCTTCCGACTGGTAAAGGATTGAGAATTGTTGGAGTAGACGGAGCATCCTCATAACCTCCCACAATTTACCAATGGTTTCGATCTTGTGAGTGAGCAGCAGAGTCTGGGCACCAGTCCTGGCAGCGGCTGCTGCGGCCTCGCATCCTGCATGACCACCCCCGACCACCACCACATCATAATGACACTGGCTGGGACTGCGGCTGGCTCCGTCTGAAATAAAAAAACATCTCACTGATCAGTGAAAAAAAGACTTGTTACAACTGGGCTGCACTCAACAGAACGAAACTATTTAAGGATGTACACGTATGGACTCAATCAATGACAACGGTATAAATATGCAGGGTATGCCGAAACCAGCATGTGTAATGCACTACTGATTATGCCATACACAGTATTCGGGTAGCAGGCAAACCTTCAAAAGATATGAGAAAACAAAAAGGGCAAGAACAACACAAAACCTGATCCCAGTGCTAGATTGAAGTGATAAGGACAACCATACACGCACTTTAGTGACAATAATGCCTTGTGTTAAAAAAAATTCATGTTTTTAAGTGAAGCTAAGCCTCACTGTCTAGTTCATGACTGGTATTATACCAAATGCTTGCCTACTGCAATGGTTATCGATGTCCAGGAAACCATGAGGCCAGGTGGTATTGTGACAATTCTTTTTCAGACCCTCTTGTCCTGATCACCCTTTTGATGGATTCTTATGTAATAGTTACACGGAAAAAACAACAATAACAATAAATGGTTGTCTGACCGTTAACCATATGCTGCCGGTTTAATTTGAAGTTGCATGGCATATACCCGGGAGATTTTCAAGATTTTCCGTTTTCAAAATTCTTCAGAAATTCATGACTTCATTTAATGGACATTTACACCCACACGAATGATTGTCTGATGGCTACACTAATCTGACAGGCAACATCTGTTGACACCCCTGTATTTCAGCAAGGCCTGCCGCCTTGTAAAGAAAGCCCAGATTGTGCGGCATTACGTAATTTTCTTTAGTCCCCGAAACTGGCCTAGTGCGCAAATGACGTCTTTTCAAATGTGGACCAGATTAGCATACAGTTGTATTGTCTCGCTCATTCCTGCAGTGCTTTTGTCTTTGGTGGTAATCCGCTCGCGCTAAATGCCACAAACAGTGGTATAATAATTCAAAACAATGACAGATTTCCTCTGCTATTGACAACTGAAAAAATGTTGGCAATTCCCAGCAGCTTGGTCTTTTGTTCTGAGTACGGTCAGTTCTTTGTCCAATTTCAGACAGCCCAGCTCTGTGTATAAACCTAAGGAGTCTGGTTCCAGAAACCCCGGCAGCAACTGGTTTAATGACTGCGACACTAATTCCAGTAGCAATATCAGGTTGGGACGTCCAGGTTGAGGAAGGCTTTCTTCTTTGACTCCTCAAAGTCAGGAGTGCATCCCTGAGAGAAGTGGCATGCAAGAGCAAGTTCACGCGACAACAATTGTTAACCCCTTCGCACCAGGAACCGTTGACAGCCGCAGCTTTGTGTGAGGATTAGTGCAGGCCACACATGGGGCCTACTGCTGGACAAAGCCCTCCATTCAGGGCATACCACAGCCCAGCAGTCACGGTCAAAAGAATTACCGGCGCAAAGGGGTTAATGACAGTTCTTTTGGTTATCGCGCACCACTCAGTCACCTAGTGGGTCTGCAGTGGTTCACCATTCTCCTCATCATTTTATCTCAATTGTGTTGCTTCATCCTCGACAAGACGAAATAGCTGGACTTCTCAACAGCTCACATGTTCACACTTCTTTGCTGATCTAGAAAGTATGTGTATTTATTTCTACATGGATGACAATCCTCCTTGGCTACTCTTGGAGATGGTACAGTGTATATTGTACAATTGTCACACAAACAGTGACCCTGATTCCTAGGTGAGCAGTAAACCCTTGAGACAAGATTTAGTCTCTCCCTACCTGAGCCCTTCGTGATGGAGCGATGCCACTGTTGCAGATGCTCCAAGAGCTTTCGCGTCTTCAGAAATGACAGCCTGCATCGAAGTCTTGCTGTGTGGCACGACATCATTCTTCATTTAAACCATGCAGTCAATCGGGGGTTGATTCAGTGCTGTTTGTAAGAATATTGTTAGCATTATTCTATAATTATTCAGGCCTTACTAAATGTTTTTGTCTCTACAAGTGCTTCTGTACCCCTCCCCCCTCCCTAAAATCAGAAGGATTTCCAGAACTGGACATCCTGCGAAGAAACCGCATGAAACTGGTCTGGAAAAGCAATGAGTTTTTAAGAAATTACTTCAATATTTTCCCTTCTCAATGAGACATTTAAGGACATACTATCGCTTTCTAATGGCTAATACGTCAGTTCAAGGAAAAATTACTTATGCCCAATGTATGGATTTCTTTGGTCAATGACTGAAATTGTCAAAGGACAATACATTTCCTTTGACCTAGTCCCTAGTACTGTGGGAGCACCCTAACGTGGTGTGGCCCCTAACGTGGCGTATCTTAATTTTTTCACCACTAGTGCCTTGTTACAGCAACACCTTTACCCTAAATTTCATAATAAGACCAATTTCATTGAGCTCTCTTTAAACACTACAAAGTTCCAATGGAATCCTGTTTTGACCTAATTTTCCCATTTTATTTCAAAATGCCCGATGAACTCTATTAAAATGCACCCATACACATAAGAAAACAATTTTCTCACAAACATGTATTTGGGAGGGTGGAGGTAACATACATATAATAATGATTTATCACATTTTATCAACGTTTAAGAAATTCTTAAATGTTAATGTGGGACTTTCTGAGATTTGTTGAAATAGGGAACACTCAGCTGAATTTGTGTTTAATTTCCGGACATCACCATTTTTGAATTTCAGACTAAATTTCACGACATAAGTTTTTTCAACAAAGAGGGTAGGCAACACTGCACTAGGGAATGCTGAAGTGCACCATGTTAGGGATTCCACCACCTTGCTCAGCTGCTACATGTAGGTACATGTACCGAATTGTTATATTGGAATCATGGAGGTGTTTCAACTGTGCAGTAATACTCTTTTGTAAAGGTACATGTGCATTTACATTGCTGAGAAAATGTTACGTTCATGAAATTGAGAAAGTCAAAAATGCAGATGTCATGTTTACAAAGATGTTACACTTGAATAAAAGAAAACTAATATGTCAAACTCTGTATTTTTCACTAGCTTTTCAAATAGAACCTAGAACTTTTTTCTATTAAGTAGCATTCAAAAATTCAAACGTGAAAAAATGCACTTGCATGTGCCAGTTTAACTCCAGTTTTATTAACTTTACAAATAAGGCAAAGTGATAAGTAACTCCCCATGCTTAAACCATATTCTGTTACTGTGTAAGAACTGGATTTTCCAAATTTCTTCTGG